TAACAGAATTCCAATAAATAACTGAAAGAAAGCCCATAAAAAGTATAACATTCTACTAGATGAATTCATATTTAGTTAAACATTTTGCAGAAGTAAAACTACCGGAACAACTGGAACATGTTCTAATGTTCTAAAAAAGCAACTTTTTGTTAAAAATATCACCAAAAATTCCCGTTATTATAGACCATATAGGTTGCTAAAAATTGGGGCAAAAATGTGAAAAGTGCTTGAGTTTGACTAGTTTTTTCACAAATCAGGACTTTTACTGCAGGAACACAAAATGAAAATTGCTGTGTCAAGTGTTTTCCCCCCGATTTTCTTTTCCTCGTTCTCTTTATGTTTTCTTTTTGTGTTTTGGATGGTTGTGCGATCGTCAGGTGGCCTGTAGCCAGCTCCCACCACAGTTTGCTGCAGTGCAGTGGGTGCAGGTCTCCCTGCTCGGCCGGCTCACCTTCTAATTATCCTGCCACGTTGGTGCAAGAGGACAGCTGTGTGAAACTGGACCCTGTCTTTATGGACCTTGGCCTTCTTTGGAAGCCTCAACTGTCCACAGGCGTAGCTGGAAATTCTGACTTCTTTACAGAGTTCATATTTGCGGCCCATCGTTCCATGCACAGCAGAGAAACAACTACATTTCTGACGCACAGTCTTACATCTATATAAGATATGTGTGAGAGAGATGGAGTTCGTGAGTGTGTGAGAGTGTTTTTGGCACCCTGAGAAAGCCTCATTGATGGGAGCTGCTCAATGAAGTGATTGTGATTTGGACTGAAAGGAGCTCAGTCTGGACACCACAGGGGTGTCGTCTGCTCTGTGCAGCTCAGAGACTGCAGCTCTGTCATACATGTGCACTTTTTAGGGCAAATAGGACGGATGTTCATTTCCTCCGTTTGAACCATGGCCAAGATGACATCATGATAACATTCAATTTTCAGTTCAAGTTCGATGTAGTAGTGCCACTGTTTACTGCATACAGCAGTGAAATATTATCTTGGGCTTCGAGGTGCCTGTACGGACATATAAACATGTGGTATCCACTGAAGCCATGCTTTTTGGACACACCAGACTGTTGGGAGAACACATGGTTCAAATATCCAATGAAAGCCTTTAGGAGTTGCAGTTAATGTACTACATTTGAAAATGTGAGGGACATTGGGACACAGTGTTAAAAGAATACTGGACATTCTCTGTTTGCCAAAGCGATGTAGATGTATGAAATAGCAGCTTTGTTGCTGACATTTACCACCGTCATGACATTAGAATGATTTTGACTATGTCAATGAGAAAATGGTGATTGGTGTACTCATCCCAGAGGTGTCAAACTCACTTGAGGCGTAAAGTAAACAAACCTTTGCCTTAAACAAACCAGGCATAATGGAATGAGAAAAGTGGTCCCAGAGTTTTGGAGTCTTTGGGTCTGACCGACTTTTGTTTACTCTTCTTGAGTATTTAGGGGTTCCTTAACTTTTTATCTGTACAGAGAGTCCTCTGCTAAAACAAGGTTCTTTCTGATTTGACTACTGGCAAAAGTGGATCCACCCCTCAGTAGTTTGGTATAAATTATGGTAATGTTTAGAACACTTGGTTGTTTAACTGTTACTCTTCCTCGTGTCCTTACTGCATTAAAGACAGACTCCCGGCATGACAGCAAACCCCTCACATCCGGCCTGTGATTATATGCCAATAATTATTTTGCCCTTTTGGAATTTCTTTTAAATTTCTTTTTAATAGTTTTTAGTGAGTAGTGGACTGCTTAAGGAGGTTATTTAAGAATGAGAATGGCACAAAGTGAAACTTCATTGGCTTACTGTCCTGTTAGAGAGGAATATTTACGTTACGTTGCCTGTCAAGGTTGTAAATCTGTAAATATCTTTGGTCAACAATGCTTGTCTTTAATGTGCTGTGTTTATGAGGCTGCTGTCAAGGCCATTGCTTCCAGCTCTGCTGTAATTCCACTGTGACACATCACTTTATTATAACTACTGTTGACATTTAAATCACCTCACCTCCATCCATGCAGTCTGAATTCCACTGACTTATATAACTTGAATTTGATATGGGATATCGTACACGTGCACAACTGCGAGGGCCGACTCCCTTCTTTCGGAGAATGCTCTGCGGATATTGGAGGAAATTGGTTTGCCTAAAAGACACACTGAAAACAGGCCAAAACTCTTATTAAATATTTTTGTGATACATGACCTGGTTTAAAGCATTTGATATTTCTCTTAGCTCCCAGCAGGTTACAGTGTTTCAACAGTGCCTGGTACTCAGTTTGCTACTACTATTGCTAGTATTCCTGTTAAATATGCTGCTCTAACTGTACTTCTACTGCTGCTTTCGCTTCTGAATATTAATACTACTACATATCACTGCAATTTCTCCTTGTGTTACCAGCCTGCCACCACCACGAGTACTACCACTAGTGCTACTTTTACTATCATGACTAATACTACTGATACTATAAACTATTTAAAAATTGTTGGCATTAGATTCAAAATCTTTCGTCTGATCCCTTAATCTTAGACTTTAATTTATACCCAATGAAGGAAATGGTTATCAGCTATAAGGGCCTTAGTGTAACCATAACTGACCAATAGAGAGTGGTCAGGAAGTGTGTGTTTGACATTTGCAATGCTGGTATTTCAGGTGGAGGTCAGACTTCCTGTTGCTAAGGGCTTTTGTGCAAGAAAGACTGGGGCATGGTGGAGTGTCTTTGATGACAGTGAAGGTGTTGGTGTATATAAATGTGTCTATGTAGAGGTGTTGTTGTTGACAGTTTTCATTTGTTGTTCCCATATAATAATTGACATATAAGTGGCATGACTTGCATTTCTATCACCTGCCATATTTAATAGGTCAATTCCTGTAGTAAACAAAGATTTGGTTTAGACTATAATTGTCTAAACCAGTGGTTCTCAAACTGTGGTACCCGCACCACCGGCGGTATGTGAGCGCTCTCTAGTGGGACACGGGGAAAATTCATATTTTTACATTTACATTTTCAATTGAATAAATCTGAAATATACCATGCACAAGTAATACAACATTTAAACATAAACATGTATAAACCTCTCTCCTGTGGTGAAGCTAACAGTGAAGGCCTCTGCTGCTGTATTCTAATGTTGGTCATCATGGTGGTACTCAGAGAGCTCAATGTTTTCTCAGGTGGTACAGGGTAAAAAGTTTGAAAACCACTGCTCTAAACTATTAGCAAATTTCGGGGAAATAAAATATATATGGAGAGCAGAATCTTTCTGTAATGTAATTATTCATTTTAGTCTATTTTTTAATTCAATTTTTAAAATATTTTTGCTTTTACCTTTATCTGCATAATCTAATTAACCAAAACCAATGCCCTGGTCAGGAGTCCTGCTGCTAACTGACCTTGTGTGTTTGCACAATGTGTGTTTGTGTGTGTGTCTTTCATATGTGCAGGCTGGTGAGTACAGTGTGTGGGTGTGTCTGTACAGACCGTCTACACCACACTGAAACAGACGGTAGCCAGATGGAGGCTGACTGGGATCAGTCTGCAGATTTCCCTGCTCTGATTCCTCTCTTCGTCCACACCCTCTCATCTCTTTCTACTCTCTGACATCTTTTGTCAAGTCTTCCCCTCCATTCTCAGAGTTCTGCACACACAGTCCCTTTGTTCTTTTTCTGATATGGTGTTTTTGTTCTTGCTGATGGCCTTCATGAGAACATAATGCTCTTCTGAATGACAAATTCGTCAGAACCATTTGTCCCTTTAAAATATTTTGGAAAAATAACACCAACCCCATGGCTGCAGGACAATAGACTTTAACTACTTCTGTGAAGAACTGTTCCTAAAATAGCCCCATGGCCTCAGGCAGATTAAGTCATGTCTCCTGATGCTGTCTCATTAGAATCTCATTAAAAGGCCTTTTTTTCAGTATTTGTGTGGTGAAGTAGAAGCAGAAGAAACATATTTTTTCATTGTTGGTTCCAAGACTATAATCTGATCCAGATGTATTGTTACATTCATTTTGAAGCATTTATTAACATGCGTACATGAATGAGATAGACCATTTTTAACAATTTTGCAGAATCTTTATTGTTCTAGTCAACCTCCTTTGTGTCTTGTCATCTATCACAGACAAACACCTGGTTCTCTGTCTTATTGTGTCCTTTAAAACCTGAACAATTGTTTTGTCACATTCTCCCGACTAAGCCCTTGAAGTTCTGTAGAAAGTGTTTTAGTTACTGCAACAAAGAATACTCTGAATCAGGGATGTCAAACTCATTTTTACCTGGGGGGTCACATCAGCAATACTGTTCCAGTTAAAGGGCCGGTTGTAACTAGAAGGCTGTATAGATGTAACTACTCCATAACGCATTAATACATGTACCGGTGATTGATTATTATTTATTTAAGTTACAAATATTGTATAAAGCTCTATGTAATGAAAAAAACAAAAGACTTAACGGGCCACATTTGGGCCTTGAGTTTGACTTTGATGCTCTAAAGCAACATTTTTTCTCTACTTGTGGTTAGTCAAAGTCGACTTTACATTTTTCAGACACAAAGGCATCTACGTTTATGATCTATGCGTCAAGTCTCAGATTTCTATCTCGACACCTAGCTGTATCAAGACCCTAATCTGTGTTTTGTCTGCATGCTCTTGTCTGGGATGCAGTAATGCATGTTTTTATTACTACACTACAACATAAGAAAACACTACCAGAGCCTCATCAGAATCACTTGAATGTATAATAACGTACTGTGTACTGCCATTTACTTTGAGCTGCTGCAGAGTGCTAATTTTGGGTTTGCTACCTTCTCTGGTTCTTGTATCATGCTGCTCTGTGCAACTAGTAAAGCCCTGTACATGGTTGCTGGATGAACATATAACAACAGTGGTAAACAAGTTACTTACACAGTTACTTCCAAACTGTTGGTATTATTGTATTTAATTGTATTTAACTTCCATCCTCCTGTTTTGTGTTCTTTGTCAAACTTCTCTTCTCTTCTTTTGCAGCAACGATCTCCTGGTAAAGTGCTCTTTGACCTGGTGTGTGTCCACCTTAACCTGACGGAGGGAGACTATTTTGGCCTGGAGTACCAGGACCAGCGTAAGATGACGGTGAGACACAAATCACAGCACCACACTGCACAGTAAAATTACAGTTATTATACTAGGGTACTGTAAGTATAACATTTTGTTGAAGTTCCTGTGAGTAAATACCTCTGTTTTTCAGAATTACTACTATTTTGTTATTACCTACTGCTGTTTGAGTCTCATTGAAGTACTTTTAGGTTTATGAGCCTGTTGTCTATTAGGCTGCTCCCTACCCTAAGGTAGGGGTCTTGAACTCAAATGAGCCGATCTGTTCACTGCTACCACTGTCATTTCGTTAGAGGGGCACATCAGTTATCATTGTCCAGTACAAAAAATGTGATGTTTTAGAAAAAATGTTTTTTTTGTTTAATCCCAAAGATGCTGTGTAATAGTGTGTGTATATATATATATGTATGTATGTATATATATATATATATATATATATGTACACACATATATATATATATATATATATATACATACATATATATATATATATATATACACACACATATATATATATATACACACACACACATATATATATATATATATATATATGTATGTATGTATGTATGTATGTATGTATGTATAAGAAAATGTAAAAATAATGGGCAAGTCCTAGCCCACGGGCCAGGAGTTTGAGACCCTTGCTCCAAGGCCTGTTTTGAATTTTAATAGTATTTAATTCAAGACCATTGCAGTCCTGGTAATTATATTCTATTTGGCCTTCTGCAGTTTTTCTGCAGTTTCAGCAGTTTTTCAGCATTTAGAAAATAGGGACTAGTTTTGTTGTTACTCCTTGAAGTTTCCTTTTAAAATCACAGGACTCCTAATTCCAGCTAAGTTGTTCTTTGCATCAAGGTTAGAAATACAAAGACGTAACTTGAACATCTGAAACTGAAATCTTTATATGACTGTGAGAGTCCCAGAGAAGTTAGTCCTCCCTTCTGTGGTCCTACTTTGACTCTCTCTTTCCCACAAGTTAACTTTAGCCTAAATCCCACACTAGAAGGTTATGATTAGTTCTGTGAAACGTAATGTTATGCAAGTGCTTTATGGAAAATATTCAAACACTCACTCTTTAAGTCTTGCTCTCTTTGTCACTTCATTCTAGACCCGTAGACTTTCATATTTAAACTTTTTAAGCCTACAGTATGTATTTTAAGTATGCAGAACAGTTGCTTGTAATTTTCGGGTGTTGGTGCCGGGGGGTTGTAGGTGTGGTTGTAGTTCTAAGAGATGTTTGTTTCCAGAGTCATTTTATAAGAAATTGCCGGTGCTTGAAATGTGACTACAGTTTTTTGCATTAGAAGACAGTCATTATGATTCTTCAGTTGCTGCTGACGTGCGTCCGTTCAGGTGTAATTGGATTTATTATTTTGAAAAGCACTGCAAATGTGATTTCACTATGTTATTTTCCTTATTCATTGAAATGGCTACACTGACAAGTTACAACACTGATAGACAATCACTTCCTCCTTTTCTCTCTTCCTGTCAAAATGACAGTTTTGTGAAGGGCATGAACATGCATGCCATCTCAAAGTTGGTAGGAATGTCTTCTATAGAATTCATCACAGCTTTAAATTTAGTCCATATGGTCCTGACCTGTCCTAGTATTTTGCTTGTTTTAGCTACAACATGGTGCTGTTTTAAAATCAGTTTGAACTGTACAACATTCAGAGCGGTGTCGTTGAGTAGCCTGGCTTTGCCAGAGTCAAAGTTCTCCTAATGGGTCACATACAGTAGACGCTTCAGCTGCATCAGTGCTGCGTTCAGCCAGCTTTTTGTACGTTTTACTTTTGCTTCTTGTTTTGAAAATAATGGATTGTTTTTCTCTTTCCCACAGTTGTGGCTGGATCTTTTGAAGCCCACACTAAAACAGATCAGACGTAAGTACAATAACAGTCTGAACAAGAATTGTCATTTGACAGCAATCATGCTTATTACATAAGTGTTCTTTAAAAATGTTAACACAAAAATATTTATTTAATACATTTCTACACATTGTTATTGTTCAAATTAAAACAGAAAATGTAGGGATTTAAATTTTATTTTAGAATACCTTGGTGATGGTAACATCTTGTCGTTCTTTCCCTCCCTCAGGGCCTAAAAACACCATTCTCCGGTTCGTTGTGAAGTTCTTTCCTCCTGACCACACGCAGCTGATGGAGGAGCTGACCAGGTTGGTTAAACCACACTTTTCTGAGGAGCAGGCATTTTAAATTAAACACCACTTTCCTGTGAGGCCAGAGGATTTCTGGTCCTTCTGGGAGAATTTTAAGACATCACACTTGCTGCAAAACGTTTGTTTTCTTGCCTTATATTTTGGTCAGCAACTTGCCATTTCCATCATGTGTTTTGTCCACAACAACCAACAGTCTGTTTTGTTTTCTTTTTATGAAACCCACATATCAGAGGTTGTGTCTAAATGGGAACCAGGCTTGGGAAAACATGGTTTCTGCTAAACCAGTTAAAAGTAGATTGCTCTCACCACTTCTGGGACTGGAGCACTGCCGTTTCTAACAGAGTTTGACTTATGTTAGTCATTGAGGTCGAGTATGTGGGGATTTAGTTTGTGTTGGTAAACATTGAGCATGCAGCTCAACCCTCCTCCACTGTACAGCTGCTGGGAGAGCAATTATATTACTCTTGTCTACAAGTTCAGTGTGCTCGTCATATATTCTAAGATAAATACATTTTCTTGTGCGAAATTATTTCTTTACAAAAATAGTAATGGGTATTTAGTGACCAGCATATAATAGATGCACCTCGTTAAAGTCACATAATTTTTAAACGTTAATGTTAACCACTCATTTTAAAACTGAGCAACAAAAATATGTTTCAATAGTTTTCCTTACATTTTCTTTGTAAACACAAAACTGGGTTAAATTTTATCTTCATGACCTAGAATAGTGACTCCAGTGTGGGGATCATATATGTCAATCTTTGCATTGCTGCCCCCTGTGGGCATTTTGCATAATAATAATAATAATAATAATAATAATAATAATAATAATAATAATAATAATAATAATGTGTAGATATTAAGAAAGAGTTCAAGTGTTTAGAGTACTTTGCTTGAAAATTTAATGAAATAAGCTTCCTTTTCAACCAACTTTTATTTCAATTTTTCACCCGTTTATTCTTTGTTTGGTTTTGTCTGACTAAAACTCATCAGCAGGGTCTGTAGTCTTTGCCACATTCGAGGGATTTTTACAACACAACTACATCCCCCAGGATGTCACCCGAACATAAACAGGAGAATGATCTGACCTCCTTACTTTTTCCCACACCACTGTGGTTTGCTCGTCCTGCCCAGTGGGATTTAAACAAGACGGGAGAAGCAGGAAACACTAGGGTTTACTTCTGTTTTCAGGCATCACATGCCACAAAGTGAGATCCTAATATTCTTCCAAAATGTCCTCACTCGCCATATTTTCCACCGTGGTGTCTGGGCTGCCCAGTTAATTCCTCTGATCTCAGACTGTCTTGTCAAGTGCCAGCTGACTGCAACGTCTGACAGGAAGTGGGTGTAGCCATTTTCCCCTCTGCCTCCTTTGTTTGACTCCAAGTGTTGACAGTATTTTTCTTTAACCAGACATGTAGTCACTCACTCTCAGTTTATCAACCTTTATTAAAGCTGAATAAACACTGTCATCAGTATATAATCTAACTAAACCACATCTGTACCTTGTTGGGAAAAGCACCTCATCGGATTTCCTCATCGTGAAAATGTGATGTCATTGTTAAACTGAAAAGTCAGCTCAAGGTGCTTTTGTAGAGACTAGTTTGAATGCCTTTTTGGAAAGATAATGAAGAGTTTGATCTGGGTCAGGTAAAAAGAACAGGTTTGCTTCAATAAAATTGTTACACAGTCTGAACATTTTTATGTCTAAATTCTACACATTAGCCCTGGAATTCGTTCAATTCCATATGTCTAGATAAGTCACTTCTTGTTGTATGTATGCCAGAAATCAAATTAATTTGAATTTTACCTTTATCGGCAGTCTCCTATAAACACCATGTGAATGTAGTTTTGTTTGTGATTTTAATTTTGTCCACCTCACCTCCTGCACCAGTTTTTGGCAAAGAAAACAGTCCCAGAGAATGACCCCACCCTCACCAGCTGGTGCTATGATCTCCCCAGTGAGACGTTTGTTTAACTGAACCTTTTAGATAGATAGATTTAAATGGATTATTATTAACAGTTGAGAATCTGCCTGATGACAGCAGATGCAAGTTAATGAAACTGATACTGATGAACGTTTTAAACTGTTAATGTAAATCTGTATCTTTTCCTCTCGCTCTCTCCTCCATTTATTGTTTTTTTTTTTTTTTTTATTTCTCTTCAGGTATCTGTTTGCCCTCCAGATTAAACAGGACCTGGCCTGTGGTCGACTTATTTGTAACGACACCAGTGCTGCTCTCATGGTCTCTCACATCATTCAGTGTAAGTGTGGTTTACTGTTTGACCTCTGACCTTCCCTATGTTTAAAGATGCACTGATGAGGCACAGACTCCCAGAACACTGTCCACATAGTGAAACATCAATGTGGGATTAGAGTCCTGTAGACTTTAAATGTGACATATAGGTGTACTCTGGTAGGATGCAGAATGTTCTTTCTAAACCCATGTTTTATACATTTGTAAGCCATTGATTTTAATGGTTTAGATGAATAAAAGTGTAAAGTATTCTCTAAAATCATTTGAGGATTGTTATTAAACAATATTGATTGACAGTTTTCTGGACCCTCACCTTAAGCACAGATCAGACGACAGTGAGTTTATGATATTCTTCATTCTCTTTTCTACGTCCCCATAACCAGCTGAGATTGGAGACTTTGACGAGACACAGAGCTGGCAGCATCTCCTCCACAACAAATACCTTCCCGACCAGGACGCCATTAGAGACAAGATAATGGACTGCCACCGCAAGCATGTGTGAGTTAATGGATTTTTTTAGTGAGATTTATGAGCCTTAAATATGGTAAGTACAACTCATAGGAAAAACGGCAGGTTTCTGAGCCTAATCTGCCTTGGAGTTTCCCTGAAGACACACATTACATTGCTAATCATTTAACCTGTGGGTGTATTTATGTGTACACACATTAGGTAATCAGAGCCTATTTTAATTGCAGAGATATTTACCACCTAATCACAAGTGCTTACACATACTCATGTATCTTTGCTGTTAACCTGGAACATGAGTCCAGCCTATAGGTCATGACACTGACCTAAGAAATGCAAGTAAAACACAGACAAAATTATAGCATATGCTGTTTGTTGTATTATACAAAACCACCATCTATAATAATGCCTTTATCGGAATGTTTATTAAGAACTCAAAGTATGAAAGAAAAATTTAAAATTAAAAAATGTTATAAAGTCAGCTTCTAAATGACCAAAGCTCATTATTAAGATGACCCTCAAAGGTCACTCATATAGCAACTGTCTCCTGTCAGAGACTCATCTTTTATACAATATTATTAATTATTACAATATTTATTATTGTTTATATTATTAGTAATTCACTTATTAATTATAAGTTTAGATGATGAGGGGCCAAAATTATTTTTTTGTCTTAAACTTTGGCACCAAGTGGTGAGCTATGACATTACTTACTTAGAAAGACTCAAGACTTGTGCTAAAATCCAAATGTACTTTATCCAGAAAATGAAGCAGCACTTAATCCTACCTTTTAACACAGATATGACAACCAAAACCAAAACCCTGATCTTCCTGATTATTTTTCATAGCCACACTCTTCACCACAAACTAATTCCTTCCCTTGTGGTTTGCTGCACTCCTCCTGCCCCCTTCACCACCTTCTGTTCTGCACTGCTTTGGTCGGTCTCACCGACACAGGAAGGAAGTGGCTAATTCAGCCGCTTATACAGGAAACAGGAAGCCATTTCCAGTCTTTTGTGTGGCAACAAACTTCTAGCGTGGCAGATTTGTTTCCGTGCCCACAGCAGCCACCAGATTTCAGACACTGTTTAACTGAATCACTGTTTTTCTACGCTTAATTTAGAAAACAAACCCCAAAACAAAGACGGATCACCACATGACAGCAGATATTGATTAGCTCTAAATGATGACAAATGAGTCTGGTGGTTGCCACAGTTGTTTTATGTGTATATTCCATGTGAAAGACACACAAAATTTTAACTTTTCAAACAAAAGAGAATCACAGAATGTTCCAAAAAACAATTGAAATTGATACTAATTGATTCCCTCCCACCACAGGGGGCAGACTCCTGCAGTGTCAGACTATCAGCTGCTGGAAATTGCCAGGCGGTTGGAGATGTATGGCATCCGTCTGCACCCAGCCAAGGACAGAGAAGGAACAAAGCTGAGCCTAGCTGTGGCACACACAGGCGTGCTGGTGTTCCAGGTAAAACACAACAAAAAAAACCCCAACAGTTACAGCGTTTACGTAATCTCAAACAACCTGCCTGCACGGAACGCACTCACCTGCAAGTTCCTCGTCAACCCACACCTTCAATCCAATCAATCAGATCTTGTTGATGGATCATAACTTCTTTGCAAAATATGGCTTTTGCTGTAACATTCATCTTAGTAAATGGTAGTGATATCCTTCAGCAACAGCCCAACATTTGCAAGCCACTCTATTGGCAGGTGTTTCCAACTCAAACGTACAGGTTATCAGTGTCATAAACAATTGTCGTGTTGTCAGGTGGTGTAATCCTGTCTACATCTGTACAAACAGCTTTGCCTCAGGATTTAACCTCGGGTGAAGAGGAGGTGTTTGCACTTTCCTTCACTACCCTCCGGGTTCAACAACCTGCCTGAATTCTAAAATAGTTTGTGAAATTATAGGCTGCTGCTGAGAGGAATATGAGAATGTAAACCTCCATTCCACACAGACTGCTTAGCATGACCTATAAATTCCTTGGATGGCTTCTAAATCTGAAGGGTAAAAAAAGACGAGGCAAGACTGGAGCTGTTCCAGTCGAAGTGGGAGTTTTCCCCGAGTGAACACAGACGTGTAAAATTAAGACAAAGTCACGTTGAAGCTCTGCGACTGAATCAATATTCTCTGCTTTAATGGACACCGTGTCCTGTTTGTAATGCTTTCAGGCACTGACCTCCTCTTTCTCCTTCTTCTCCTCCTCTAAAAGTGAAGAGAAGATGCATTCTTCTTTCTATTTCCATCTTTGTGTTTTGTTTTAGACCTTTTTCTAAAACACATTTCTATTGCTTTATAGCAGGATTTTAGAAAAGCAACCAATTCAAATACAGTATCATCTCGGGCCAAGGTACCGTGCACATACAACAACAGTTGCCACACTAGGAGTTAATGAAGTCGGAGCTTATTTTGATGCCATAAATGGTTGTTTTTTTTCATAATATTTTTAACTCTAAATTAGGACTAATTAAAACCCGCTGCTGTCTTTGAATTGCAAATATGTTTTTTGAAATGACAGCCAATAATTAAAGCTTTGTTCCTGTCACCTAATCCTCTCAGAACATTGGTGACATGGCATTTACAGACTGACTTTGCCTCCTTGCTGACAATGTTAAAGGAACCAGTTTTTAGCTTTTACTGCACTTGTGTTTTGTAGATGAGCTCTGATGTAGTAGAATAAAATTATGTTAAAACTGTTCTTGAATTTGACACAGAAACCTCCCCATAAACTCCTGTTTTTATTTATAGGGATACACCAAGATCAACGCCTTTAACTGGTCTAAGATTCGCAAACTAAGCTTCAAACGCAAAAAGTTTCTCATTAAACTGAGGGCGGACCCTGGCGTAAGTCTGTCTGAATTTATCCATCGTCCCTCACCACCTTTTGTTCTTTTCTTTTATTTCGACCTTCACCCATACTCACATCTGTCTGTGCATCCTCCAGCAGAATGCCCACCATGACACACTAGAGTTTGCCATGGCCAGCAGGGACTGCTGTAAGATCTTTTGGAAGATCTGTGTCGAGTATCACGCCTTCTTCAGGCTCTTTGAAGAACCCAAGCCCAAACCCAAGCCCATTCTGTTCACCAGAGGATCTTCATTCCGTTTCAGGTTCAAGAGAAGCTGAATTAGTAGAGATAATTGTTTTTTTTATCTGTTTGTATCTGTTTAAACCTTCTGTTGTCTCTCTGTCCTTGCAGTGGTCGGACTCAGAAGCAGATCTTCGACTACATCAAAGATTCTGAGCTCAAGAAAGTTCCCTTTGAAAGGTACCACACAGCAGAAGCATCAACATTAACCCCGAACATCCTTGAGGTTTGGTCTTATCTGTTTTCCTTTCTGTCTTTAGAAAGCACAGCAAAATTCTGTCCCACAGCAGCATGTCTCCACAGTCGTCTTCTTTCAGAACACAAGTGCCAGAAGAGGTGAGCAGACATTCTTCACTTTTATTCTCTCACAGACGTGTCTCTTGGAATGCTTTCTATTTCTTCTGTGGAGTTAGTTTGGACGGGGATCCAGGAGGAACTGTGCAGTAATTGCCTTGTAAAATGCGAGGGTGTTGGAGAAATCAGGGGAGTTGTTGTTACCAGTGTTTTGTGTCTGGTAGATCTAGGAAAAGACTCAAAGTCCAAACTTGCTCCAGGTCAGTGTTGGGGTTTTGAAAGACTGCTCTCTTTCAGGTTTAAACCGTTTTTGGCAGTAATCCCTGATTTTGCAGCCAGTGTGGTTTTAATGGCATCATCTCGCAGTGACCTGTGTCTCTCACCGGGGCAGTTTTACAGCCCTGTGTAAGGTGGCTTGGATTAGGATGAGCTCATCCCAGTTTAACTCTCTTTTTGTTTTCCTTTTCCCCCTTTTCCATCTGCAGAGTTCACTCTCACTCCCGTTGGCAGACCAGCCCGACTCGGCCAGGTTTAACCATCAAGCTGAACTCAACAGTGCAGGAGATCCAGGACTGGTTTCTGCCCCCACCAATGGGTTCCAGGACATCCTGGTGGCGCCTGGCTCAGACCCACTCCATTCCAGACGGAATCACAACGGCGTTGGATCAGCACCGGAGCAGCAGCTCCTCAACCCAGGTCCATCCAGCAGGGCAAACAAAGGCAGCAGCTCCTCTATTCCATACATAGACTGCAGCGACATAGACAGTGAATGTGAAGCAGCAAAGGGCCACAGGGCCCACGTGGGCCACAGCAATGCAAATGACAGCAATGAGGATGAGCCTGCCATGTTAAGTTATAAGATAGGGGCAAGTCGAAACGGGGGGCAAGTAGGCAACCTGTTCGGGCCTGTAAATGGGTTTTATCACACTAATCACCAGGGGTTAATGCAGCCGCAGCAGCAGGGTATGCTGGGTAATAGATCTAATATAGAGCAGCCAAAATTCAGTCTGAGCCACGAACTGACGGATGATGAAGTGTTGTCTAACGGGGGGTCGTTTCATGCCCGGGCTCCACTCCACAGCACATTGTTGGATGAGATCTTTCAGGGTCGTGAGGTACGAGGTGCTGTGGTGGGTCGGCCATTCGGTTCTGGAACGCGTAGTCAGTGTTCCAGCCCAGTGATTCGCAGCTTTCACCACCGCACTAACTCTTTGAGTCACGCAGAAATGACAAACGGTCACGGGCAGCCTCGCTCGGGCACTCGTTGGGACAACGGTGGGCATAGTTTCAGTAAACATCCAAGTCCAGAATCTCCCACTGTTCCACTGTCATTCCAACCTCTCAACCACTACGGCAGCTACTCCCCGATCCTCTCCAACCGCACGCCACCACAGGTGTCCAAACTGTACACCAACAACAACATGAGGAACCGATCTGATACAGATCCCTTTATCCTCAGCCAAGTTACGTCCACTCCGATCCACCATCGTGACCCCAGCCGTTTGGGCCAGTACACCCAGGCTCCATGTTCCGCCCCAGTGGAGCGTAGAATGATCCTAACTAACGGCAACCACACGGCAAACCTCGGGATTTCTGGTCTGACAAAACCAGAAACCCCAAAGCACTTGTTTGGCCCACAAAGAAAACCGAGTAATCACAGCGATGCCAACCAATCTGTCCAGATGATAGACGGGTCCACGAGCAGTGGCTCTGACACAAGTGACACTGAGTCAGACGTAGGTAGTAGCACATTCGGCCAGCCATTAATGTACGGCAACCCCGCTGTTCTGAGTTCTCTAAATTCCGTTAATGGTAACGTTGAGAATTCGTCTCCGCTAAAGAACAGCAACTTCTCGCTCGGAAGCCTGCCGCTGGGTGGGGGGGTGCACAATGTGGTGGAGGAACAGAGGCGTTACCGCTTTAATGAGGAGGACGGAAGTGGGCGGGTGTTCAGTTGTTGAGCAGAATAATGGGTAAAGTTGCCGAGCTTCAAATAATCCATTATTGTGATAAGAATATTCTTTATATAATTATAAAGAATATATAATTTAATATAATTTTATAACATTTTAACTATTACCAATCTGGTAATATGGCAATTTTGGTAATTGTTGTAGTATTTTTGAAGATTTAGAGCAGATCAATTGTGATACAACTTTAGAACTGAGAGGACTTTTGAAAACATTTTTAACCCCACTTTTAGATATAGTCGTAACAGATGAGTTCCTTAAAAAACAAACAGAAATATCTGTTAAACTACTATGGTCAAAGTCTCTTAAAAACCATTAATAATAAGAAAATGTTAATGAAAGTTGAAATGGTTGAAGCTGTTGAGCATCAGTGGCAGTAGAGAAGAGGGAGACGCTTTTTTTACAATGTGCCATAACCTTATGTAGAGTATCGTAGATTTTGTAGCAAACATAGACTTGTATTTTATATTACCATATTTGGGAGAAATTGTGATTATTGTTTGTTTTGTAAATGAAGGGAAGCTGATTTGTGTTGTGGTTCTACAGAAAGATGTAATGATGATTTCTGGATCGCTTTGATGTCAGATAAGATGTGGATTTTTTTCCTAAAAGCTCAGAGGTAGTTAGACCTGCTGCCTTTTATTTGTAGTTGGTGTTTTCCTGAATGTAGTGTCTCCGTTTAGAGTATTTGACTGTCGTCCTGTGCAATAGAAAGGCTTTAAAGCAGTAAAATAGCTAGAAGTCCAATCTAGGATTACCATTGATAGGAGAACAGATCAAGAATCCGCATTCAATTTCTTCATTAGATGCTGTGTTACTGTGATTGATGCAGCTGCATGTTGCGCTGAACCACATATGTCAAACTCTTGGCCTGTGTGCCAAATCTGGTCCACCACGTTGTTTTTATGTGGTCCACCAGACCTAAACTCTCCGATCGAATTACATGTGCATAACATATGCAAGGTGAGAAGTTCACAGTTTCAGTTCCTCTCACTCCCACTCAAATCAACCGTATGATTGCAATGAACTACGACTCCCATAATGCACGCTGACTTCTGTGACCGGCCTGTGATACAGAGAAGCTCTGTAATTTTGTTTGGATATTAATGGTTTTTGACCTCTCAAGAGATTGAGTGATTGACCCCCTGTTTTAAACACTAACCAACTCTGCATTTTAAAAAGGTTAATTGCAACTGAATCAAGCAACGAAGAAGTCGCACATGGGTTTTGTGCAGATATATATTGTCTTAGAACTCTTTAGGACTGGGGTTTGTTCTCGTAGAGTAATGCATCAGTCTTGTAGACATCGTGTTTACGTGTTGGAGGAAGTGTGTGCTGGAGAGAAGGGCCGTTCCTCCCTCCATCCTTTTTTCTTTAGAGCACCTTCCATTTTTTCCGTCCGTGTCCGTGTGTGTTTGTTGTTGGTCCGGCTCTGTGTTGTGTATGTGTGTTTTGTAGGAACATGTTCTGTAAGAAAATAACTTTTCTAATAGATTTCTACACAGGGTTATTTATAATTCCCTCAACTTGTACTTTTCTACTCTCCAGTCTTTCTTGCACTAGGTTTATTTCCTACTTTTTGCACACGAGAAGCTGTCAGTTACCGTCTGTCCTCCTGTGACCACCCACAGATGTTTGCTTTGCTTGGCTTGACACTTGGCATCGACTCCATTGCACGTCAACAGAGAAACGACTGCTCACATACTCTGGCTGCTGTTTGCTCTTCTGTTCTGGAGTTTATTTTATTGAAGTTCTGCTTTGTCATCCTCATCACTGTCATTTGCTGACTCTGCACACTCTGACATGAAAAACTTAATTTTGCAAACGGAACACTTCTTTTGTGGGATCCACAGAAATAGTCGAAAAGACTTGAAAAATTTCAGTCCTGTAGGTAAAGGGATTTCTGTCGCTCACTGGACGATTCCAGCTGCTAGTCCTTTAACTGAAACAGAAATGTTTCATTGATTAGTCTAATTATTTACTAGCGGCAAAAATGTTAATGCTAATTAGCATCAATCTAATTTCACCAAAATTAAACATTCAATAAATGTTTAATAGTGCATTATACTATTTTCTAATGTTTTTATTTGTTGATTTTTTTTTTCAATTCAGCATCTTAACTACTCTAAATTAATCCAGAATCAGAAAATTTACTTTAAAAATGCAGTGAATTTAAAAAAGTCCATGATACAGATAAAACACCAGACAAGTAGAATTGAAACATGCAATTATAGCCAATAAGTTAAACATTTTACACTTCTGTCCAGAAATGTACAAGCAACATTGGAATGCAAACAAAATGGCTCATCACAGTCATCTCACCACCTGCTGGTGGCAGAATGAACCTCAGGAGCTGTTTAAAGTCCTATATTCACATTTGTTTTACTACATATTTTATAGGTCTCTGTTAAAAAAAAAACACCTTATTATTATTATTATCTTTATTAAAAGATTAATCATCAACAACATAAAGGTACTAGCCTTTTAATTGGGATGTCTGGATTTTATTATTATTCACTGTAGTTGACACAGTTGAAGGCTCCATTCACACTAACCTTGGCCACTAAAGGACTCAAAGTCTTGAGCTTTGAGAAGACTTAGTTTAAGACTGTTTTAAAGTCACTACAAATCTGCTGCTTCCTTCCTGAAACTAAATGCTTATGTAAATGCTTTGTTTTCAAGCATGTTGGGTCTTTTCTTTCTCTTTGGTGTGAATCAATTTCCTTCCCCTGTTTTCTGTTCTGAACTCTTAATGCATGTTAAATAACCAGATGTGTGAAACTGAGCTCTTTATTTTCTGTGATTCTGCTCTGCTTCAGCTTCATCTGGTGTTTCTCTGATGAATGTTTTAAAAAGCTTATCTGCAGTGAAACCACAAATTGAACTGAAATAAATCGTCGTGTGGATCTTTGCACTGGTTTCACTGCACTTCGCCCAGTCCTTTTAAAACATGAAGACGTCGATTGTGTGTTTGGTTTTGGTTTTTGTGTGAAGCGGGGGCCGACTCAACTCCAGCACTCATGAACGACAGGGTGGAGGTCAGTGAAGGTAGACGGGACAAAAGTCAAGTTTAACTGATGATGCATGTGTACAGAGGTTAAAAAATAAGAGGTAGATTTTGGAGGACCTTGAAGTCACAGAAGGCTTGCAGTTGTCAGGAGAGGGAAGGAACACACACAAACACTTCAACACACACTTACATGCACACTTGATACTTCTGGAGTCCTGGAGTTGAGTTCATCTCGTCTTTCCTCTCACTGCCTGTCACCAGATTGCACTTGAACGTTTCGTTTCCTTTTATATTTAAATTTCAATGCACTGTATAGAAACAGACTAAAAAACTGTAAATTCTGTTTTGTAATTTTGTACGTAAATGGTTTTAAAGCAGGGCAAAAATAATTGATCACATTTTAAAGTTTAAATGGCTTTTTACAGTAACATTCTGCTTTTTCTACCTTAAGTTAATTGAAGCTGGATATTTTGGGTCCATTCTGCAACTTTAATCTTTTTAACAAATGACTGCTGATTGTTAGAAGACAACTTCACAGCTACAGCGTTATGCTGGTCAACTTAGCTTAGCATGTGGACTGTATTTAATTACTGTTACAATTAGCAAAATCAAGTTCTGACTAATTTCGAGCTATATACTTTTATCACACTACATATGTATAAACTAAGTAAGAACAGAATGCACCTGTTGTGCTGGCACAGAAGCATGATATGTCAAGAGGTTTTTTTAAGATGATTTGCTGTAATTTGTCAGATTTGCCAGTCTGTTCAGATTGCCTGCCAACAGCAGAATGGCTTGTACTCTAAGCTGCTGGTTGGATGTCAGCTGAAGAAGTGTACAGGCACAGAGGCATTGGTCCATTACAACATGAAAAAAACTCTTAACCCCTGAAAAGGTTATGTTAGGTCTTCATTTTCATGAAAAAAACTCTTAACCCCTGAAAAAGTTATGTTGGGTTTTCATGTCGGTGTACCCAGAAGAATATTTTAGCTTACTTGCTATTGTCAAAATGCTACACACATGCTACTTGTTCAGCTTAGATAGTACACTGGCACAGAGGCATAAATTATCAGCATGTGACACTAGAGTAACATAAGTCAGGTTATGCAAAAATATATCGATACAACTTTTTGCCCCCCCCCCCCCCCGACACATTCACAGCCATTTCTTCAAAACGCCACAGAACGTTATATAAACACTGTAATCTCTTTGAAGCTGCTGATCTCATTCAGCAATTTTCTTGCTGTAGCACAAATGAAGACGATATTAAAATTAAAACTTATTCCTCAGCCCCTAGGGGACCCACCCACACCTTGTCTAAGAAACCACTAGTCTTAAGTGAATTTGAACAAAGTTAAAACTCTCAAATCCTGCCCTCTGCTGGGGACATTTGGGCCTTAGTCCAGTCCTTTTGCTAAGATAACCTGACCAGCTTGCCTGCTTACGAAGGAATCTTTTTACTGAGACACTGATTTGCTCTTTCAAAGCTTGACTCTGCTTCACGGCTGTTGCATGATTCCAGTCCACTGTTCTTCAAATGCACTGGTCTCACTGGTTTAATATCTGTTTTTTTTTTGTAACACGTTTTCCTGCTCAGCCTGTCCCCTGAAGACTTTCACCTCTCTCACCCGATTCTGCTCAGTTTTTGTCCACTTCATCTCTTAACACACTGTAAATGATTGTGTTCACTAGTGTCAATAAAATACCACTTGTATGCTGGAAGAAAAGGGACTCCAGGATTTTCACTGGCAGGGAACCATTATCCTGGTGTCTCCCATCGACTCCACACTCCCACCCGTCCCTTGTGTGGTTGTTGTTAGATTGTAGAGAGTTGTCTTTTGTTGTTTTGTGGACACTGTTTGTGTGAACGTTTAGTTTGTTTTATGTGTGTGATGTCTTTTGTCGTATTAGTTTCGTAGTTGTCTTTTGTGTGGTGGCTAGTTTTCTTTAAGGCGTTGGTCGTCACAGGTCCTCATTCAGTTGCCGTGGTTTTTTATCCACGATCCAGTTTGCTGTATTACGGTGGACTCATTGGATCTTTGCACCTGGGCAAGTATACGGTCAAAACCTAGTACCATGTAGTAAACCTCTGTAGTGGCTCTAGTTGTAGTGGTGTACATGTTGGGATGATAATATATTTATAGTTCGAGTAAAATCATATTTAATCGTCTAATTAAAACTAAATTTACTTTATTTTCTACGTGCTTTTGTACAGAGCAAGGATTTTTGGAAAGCATTTCTCAGTGTTCCAGTCTGTTGCTGCCCAACATTGAATGGTTATGAGGAGGTGGTGTTCTTTAGGTCAGTGATTCCCAACCACTGTGCTGTGGTTAGTTTTTGATTAAAAGATCACCAGGTGTGCTGTGGAAAGTAAAAGCTAATATTTCAAAGGGGCAGGAGATGGTTATAAAATTTAAAAAAGAGAGAACAAAAACTGTTAAAGAAGAGCTGTGTATGTCTTTCTTCAATTCCTGTGATTATCTCAGGGTGGTGTTCAACTAAACAGCCCCAGGTTTCAGACTGCTCCTTTCAATTGTGTGTCAATTGAAAGGAGTGCATCATTATTTTTTATAACATGTACTTTGTGGATATTTTTGTTTGGTGGATTGTCTCCTGGATTTTTGTAATGGAAAATGTGTCTTTGGTTAAAAAAGTTTGGGAATCACTCCTTTCTTTTTCTTTTTTACGTCACTCCCATTTTTCAAGTGATGAAAGATGATGAGTTCACTGAACACATCTCGTATTACTGAGTCTGGCCTTTTCTGTTTGTATTATTTTGTGCGGTACAATCTGGATGTCGATTTGTTGGTGCATCAGTGTTTCTGTTTTCGTCAGTATTTCTCAGGGAGCAGAAGGATAGTTAGAAGTTACTTGCCCTGCAGTTCATAGATGTTGTGTTAAATTTGGTAATGACTTGCTCTGTATTAAAGCAGGTAGCTGAACTTAAAAAAATCTATTTTTCCAAACGTTGTGCATGTTCACAGTTTCCTAAATTACCTAAAGCTTTACATGCTGTGCATTGTACTGTGGGTGGAATAGACTGATTAGGAATAACTCAGCCAAAACAGCTTTAAGAAGGAAACTCTTCATTTTCTGTATAATGCACAGATATTGATTAATCAATCAATATCTGCAGTCTAACTACCAATCACCAACTAATGTCTCTAGTTTCTGTCTTCTGTCATTTTTACCCCTTTCATGCATGAGAATTAATTTGGGGACAAAGTACAGGCAGAGCCTTGGTCAGGGTCATGGGGTCGTAGTGTTTGGTGTTTGTTTGATCATCATTGCTGCTCATTGTGGTTTCTCTTTCATTTTGGTAGTAGGATTATAAAAATACCTTGAAATACTTTTCAGAGTGATTATTGAAAGTGTCTACATTGTAAGTTCCCAACAGTAGAGTGGATAAAATAGTTCAGAAAATGTCACTAGCATAAAGTCATTTCCCATCGTAGGCTCCATCGTAACTCCATCCATCCTTTTCTTCTTCTTTCATCTCTTCTTTCTTCCTCCTTGTTTCACTGTTTCTTGTCTTGTTTCCATTTTTTCCTTCTTTTCTCTCTCTGTTCAACAGGAAGTCCAGGCTCTGAAGACTCTGCCCAGGGAAGTCCTCGTGCTATGGTCAATGGCAACGGTTCGGTAAACGGAGAGGGGAACCACACCTCTGGCGTCACGGCTCCGGCCCAGAGTCCAGAGTTGCATCCGGTTTCTCCTCTCACCAGCCCACTGCTGATGGAGGCTGGGTACGTTCGCAACGACGAGGAGGAAGAGGCCAGGAGAAAGGTGGGCATGTCAGGGCTGTAACTCTACTGATTTATTAGACGGACACTTGGATCACACTTGTGCTTTGTGTCCAGAAGTTTCCCACAGACAAGGCCTACTTCATAGCCAAGGAGCTGTTGACCACAGAGAGGACCTACCTCAAAGACATTCAAGTCGTCACAGAGGTGAGAACACAGACATGTCCAGTCTTTTTGACGGGGTAGAGACACTTTGACCTTTATTCACCAGAAAAACCTTCTTCAGTAGCTGAACTCCCTACCATCTTTCTTCTATCACCATGACCTGTGACCTCACGGTGGAGGTTTTAAAAAAATCACATTTCCTCTCTCTCGGGTCATTTTCTTTCTCTAGGCTGTTGTTTTTTCTCTTCTCCACAGTAGTTAACACTGTCTTTGATGTGACTGGAGGGCGTGTGCCGGAGCTTTCCTTTAAAAATCTTTTAAATATTTGCTTTGGCCAGCACCTCAGAGGCCTCTCCCCTTCAATTTTCTTTCCACTACATCGCTCATATCTTCTTAGTCAATGTAAGTCCCTCTCTCTCTCTCTCTCTCCCTCCCTCCCTCCCTCACCCTTCCTCTCTCTATGAGGTCGATCCAGGAAACAGCTGTACAAACCTTCATTTTTACACTGGCTATCATAATCGTTGGTTATTTACCTAAAGGGCAGGCTCTCAAATTGGATCAGTCTTTTTAAACACACTGTCCTCAACCTCAGGGTTGAAATGCAGTCATGTCTGTGTGTCATCAGCATTATTAGGTTTAATTAAACATGACCTGTTTGACCTGAAATTACATTTTTCCAGTAATTATTTCCCTCTCTGATTTCTAACTGTTTGGTTTATTATAGGAAATTGGGTCATAAATGCTGAAAGGCAAACTAGGAAAATGGGGGAAAATGCATTGGAGAAAAATAATTGTGGGAAAAAAAGATCACAAAAAAGAAATTACCACAAAGTGGTAAAGAACAGAAAAATTGAAGAAAAAAAAAATTGTGTCGTTGTTCATGGGGTTCCAAATAAGAAGGCAGAATAACAAAAAGTACAGAGAAGCAAAGAGTAGAAAGTCTAGAGACGAGAGTCAGGAGCGACCGGGCACAGGAAAGGCAGGAAGGCATAATGGCAAAAAAAAAGTGACAGTGAGTTAGAAAAGAAAAAAAGAGAAAATAATAAAAATAAAGTATAAATGGAAAAGATTAATTGTACTGAAAAGGTCAGAAGAGTTATAGGCCACAAAAGGTAAAAAACACATTAATAAAAACTGCTGTACAAGTTGCAGCTAAAAAAGGAAGATACATTTTTGGTACTAAAAGTATGCAGTACATAAACCAACCCTGTGTGTGTGTGTGTGTGTGTGTGTGTGTGTCTGTCTGTGTGTTTGCGTGTGTGCGTGCGCGTGCACTGGTGCACCCTTCCATTAACAGTCCTTCCTGAGTTTTGCGGCTAAAGAAGAGACGTTCCCTGAGTCTGTTCAGAACCTGTTTTCCACCAACTACGAACCGATCCAGAAGTTCCACCAGGGATTCCTCAAAGAGGTGGAGCAGCGTCTGGCACAGTGGTCAGTACTGCTGCCTCTTACTGTGAACTCAAAGACGCAAGGTGGAAAATAACAATACGTTTAAAAGTATATTGTGCTTAATATTAATTAATAACTTGGCGTCTACTTATAAAATAATAATACATATTTTTTATGTTGGATTGTATATATAATGCGTTTGGTGACCATTCTATTGATATTTTTGCCATGTTTTAGATCGTTTCGAGCGGATTTGTCGCGGAGTATTAATAATTTGAGGGGTTCAACGCAGAGACAAAAATAGTCCTTACTTTCCTTCTGCGTGTGAATCTTTTCGTTTTGTTTTGTAATCTAATACATCACATGCGCATGTAAGTGCGCGCGCACACATAGAAACAAGCATTGTTTTTTGGAAAGCATCCAAGGACTGAAATTGTCATGCTCGGAATTTGAGTCATGATTTTCCATTTTGAGTGTGAGAACCTTGGCTCCAGGCTGACATCTAGTGTTTTACCATCGCAACTGCGGTGCACGGAAATTCATTCTAAATGTTCCCGTGTGTGACTCACAGGGAGGGACGCTCTAATGCCCACATTAAAGGAGACTATCAACGCATCGGTGATGTTTTACTGAAGAACATCCAGGGTCTCAGGGTAAATACGTCTCCCTGCACAACAATGTCCTGTCAAAATCCCAACAAGTTCACTTTCAATACTTCTGTCTCGTGTGTTTTGTTTCTGCAGCAGTTGACAATTCATCTACAGAAACATTCAGAGTGCCTGGTTGAACTGGAACGCGCCTGCAGGTCAGTGGATATGATGCAAGATGACCTCAGTGACCTCCTCCCAACCACTTCCTGTCCAAATTCTCTCTTTATTGCACTGTGAAAAAAACAAAAAGTCTGCACAAAAATGTCTACGTCTTCTGTTTCTTTGGCCTCTACTTTCTTTTGGCGACTTGGTCATTGTGAATTTTTACATGTAATAATTTCTGTCCTTCAAGGATTTTTACTATTGCAGCTTTGGATTTGGTCAGTAAAGACATAAGACTGCTGTATTTATAAATGCATACTAAATATATGGTTTGGTTTTGTCAGGGTCATTACAGTGTTTTCCAATCAAAGTTTTAGCAACAGCACGCCTTATCGGCAGAAGAAAATGTTGCAAGACATAAAAACCTCCCCACAATCTGAGTTAGACGTCGCATGACTTTAGGGACAAGAGCTTGAGAACAAACGGTGGTTTGACTTTCGTTATCCGGTCATTTTAAGCAAAACTAAAGTTCCAGGACATATTCTCAACATACCACAGCAGGTGGTTTGTGCCTCAAAATCTGGAGGTGGTTTCACTGATCTCCGACACCACTGGCATTTTGTTAATTGTGTTTCCCTCCTGTCGGCAACAACAGATCCAGTCGTAAGGTGGAGACCGTGTGTCGAGACTTTGAGCAGCAGAAGGTTTGTTACCTCTCCTTCAACATCTTCCTGCTCCGTCCTCTTCATCGGCTGCTGCACTACAAGCTCATCCTGGAGAGGCTCTGCAAACACTACCCACCCACTCACGACGACTTCAGGGACTCTAGAGGTACCACCGCTGACCGTGGAGCTTCTCAGGTACAGTACCAGTGTGGGAGTACAGTGAAGGAGGTGACCTCTCTGTCTTTTTCATCTGTGCAGCGGCTTTGGCAGACATCTCTGAGATGGTGCTCCAGCTCCAAGGCACTATGATGAAGATGGAGAACTTCCAGAAACTTCTGGAGCTGAACAAGGACCTGATGGGCATCGACAACCTCGCTATACGCGGCAGGGTATGATAATTAACATTAACATTTTTAAAATTCACCTCTAAATAAGGGAATAAGTAGATATACTAGAATGTCAATTTAAATACACAGCATGTGAATGTAAACATTATAAACCAGAGGAATCTTTCGATTCTTTGTCGATGACGATCTTCTTGGGACCACTGTCTGTCTTTCACTCACAGGAGTTTATCAGGCTCGGCTGTCTCAGCAAACTCTCAGGGAAGGGTCTTCAGCAGAGGATGTTTTTCCTGGTATGCAGTTAAATACAATTGGAGTGACAATGGCAAAAAAGTCACAAATATCAATGTTATATTTTTTCTTGTTTCTTCACAGTTCAGTGATTCCTTGGTCTACACCAGTCGAGGGATGACAGCATCCAATCAGTTTAAAGTTCACGGACAGCTGCCTCTTTATGGCATGACGGTACATATGAGTTACACAGCACCAGTACTTATAAAACTCATTAAAAACTTGCTTCTTTACTACGTGTGATAGAGCTGTTAACCACGGTTTCCCAATCTATGTTGAGCAGCGCCACATATCAAGTGAAATTGGATCATTTTGCCATGGTTCAGAATCAGTGGTTATACAAATATTTAGTTATATTGTCACAGCGCCACAGAGTGGACGGTGTGATAGGACACAGTTGCATTGTTCAGGTAAATTTGATATTGTTGTTAGCTTGCACCTATATCTTCATAACAAAATTTGTCCTAGTTAATATATAACTAAAAAAAATCTTTACACATATATTCTCTGTTCCCAAATCTTAAATTTGCATCTTCTTCTTCTTTGGATTGTATAGCTACTAGCTAATGTGTCTCTTTTTCTAGTTTTAGTACCTTTTTAAAAATACATTCATTTATAGACATTTTTGATGAAATGTTTGAATATTTGGTCAATGTGAACTGTACCATGTCAGTAATGAGTTGTTTGTTTTTTCCTGCAGATCAGAGAAAGTGAGGAGGAATGGGGGGTCCCTCACTCCTTCACCCTGTTTGGACACCGTCAGTCAGTGGTGGTGGCAGCCAGGTAAATACACACACACAGACGCTTCTCCGACATTGATTTAACACTTAAGGAGTCTTTAATTTGAAAGTTAACCACATAGATTCCCACCGCTGTAAATGTCATTTTATTTGTTTTTGCTGAAAAGTTTTTTGCAGAGACTCAGTGACAGATTTAATGTAACATTTAAATATTACGCTGAGGAAAGAAAATGTCATCTCTGTTTTCTGTCTGCGTCCAGCTGTGCCTCAGAGATGGAGCGGTGGGTAGAGGATATCAGAATGGCCATTGACCTGGCCGAACACAGCAGCAGCCCCGGCACAGACCTGCTCTCTACCAGCCTCTCTGACAACAGTAAGAGCACCCTCTGCTGGACGGACCTGTGCATTTCATGATAGAGCCACTCTGTCGTCCTGTACAGTGCCTTTTGATTTGACATCTCTGTTGTCCTTTTGCTAACTCAACCTCTATGAAGACCTTTTCACTCTGATGAATAGAATCAACTCACGAGCAGCAACATTTCTTATTTTTTTTATCTGTACATGATAATTTGTAGCTAGTTGTTTTCCATCTGCAAAGTGTCCTAAAAATAATAATTGAATTTTTCAAACAGTGTTTACTGTGAGACATAGTGCTAAAGAAAAAAACAAGTTTAAAAAAGACAAAGTGGGAATTGTTCCAATCACGTTTAAGCTGAGGATGCGGAGGCTAACCATGTAGAAAAGGTCAAATATGCAACGACAGAAACACAGAAATTTACCTAGTGAGACAGGTTGAACTGCCAAAGTAAGAGATACTGTATAAAAAGTTAGAAGGTTAAAAAGATATTTTTTGTGGGAAATAAAAGTCAGTGATTACGTACTTCACTTCTGTCTTTTGCAGAACTTCTGGACGACAGTGCGGTGGAGCAGGAGTCCGAGGAGGAGCTCTGTGGCTCACGCTCGTCCCTGGAGCGCCAGGGTCACCGTGGAAACACCACTGTGCACGTGTGCTGGCACCGTAACACCAGCGTGTCCATGGTGGACTTCAGTATTGCTGTGGAGGTACGGAGCTGTATGCCATCAGGTCCTCTCCTGCTGCACCTACTCCTCCTGTCCTCTAGTTGTGCAGTACTGTCACCTGTTGATGTCCAGTTTGTCTTTTCTGTCCTGGTGTCTCACTTTTCTTCTCATGTTTGTGTTTACATTTTCCAGTTTCTTCTTCTCTTCCATTTTTGTCCAATTTTCCAAATCCTGTCCTCCTGTCTTCTGTCTTCTGTCTTACCCTGACATTGCAAAAAAGAGGACATGGTTCGGTCATTGAGGTGACAAAGTCTCTCAGCAGACATTGAGGTCTGCCATGTTCCTCCGTGTATGGATATTCACAGCCTTTCCGTTAGTGACACCTGCAGGAGTGGAGAGGTACTGAAAGTGGCCTCATTGACTGAGGATGAAATGAATGCCTGATGAGTAGATAGAATTAATTTAAAAAAACTGAAAGATAAGTGCAAAATGTTGATGTTTTTATTTTGGCCATTGGCCAGAATGAAAACAATGTCTAAGATAAATGTATTTTTCCACAGAAAATGCAATTCAGAGCGTAGAAAAAGCGATGGGAACAGAAAGACAAGGCTTTCAGAACAACAATGCAAAAAGGCAGTGCAGAAAGTCAATGCAGAACTAGCAAACAGGATACAAACAACATTATCAAAAAGATGAAGGCAGACAAATGATGCAAACCATTAGATGGTTAAAAAAAAGGTCAAATGGAAAGAGACAAATGCAAGTTAAATAGGCAAAAAGACAATAAGCAACACAAAAGTTAAAAGAACAAAGTCTGAAAGATTAAATTCTTGAAGTCACAGCAAAAAGGCAAAAAAAAACAAAAAAAACAAGAAAGAAGCACCTGTCAGCATCTGAAAATCTTTTTTGAAATTATACTTTTTTGACATGTCCTCATGTCCTTTGGTCCACCTCCTCAGAACCAGCTGTCTGGCAACCTGCTGAGAAAATTCAAGAACAGTAACGGCTGGCAGAAGCTCTGGGTGGTCTTCACCAACTTCAGCCTTTTCTTCTACAAATCACATCAGGTCTGACTCACAGGGATGAGCACGAGGTTGAAGTGTTTTACTGCCTGTTTCTAATGTGACCTGTCGTCTCTCGGGTGACGTGCAGGACAACTACCCTCTGGCCAGCCTCCCTCTGCTGGGCTACTCTGTCACAGTCCCGTCAGAGTCGGAGAACATCCACAAAGACTACGTCTTCAAACTCCACTTCAAGTCCCACGTGTACTACTTCAGATCAGAGAGCGAGTACACATTTGAAAGGTGAGGGTTTTGTAGTAGTCGTTTATTTTTAATCTGTGTATTGTGATATTTGGTGATGTCATCTCAATTCAAGTATAAACAATGAAACTATGATAAAACGTTTTTTACGTAAGCAAATAGTGAGGAGAGTCTGAGGGGATTCTGGGTAGAACAGCCACAGGTGCCCACTTTTTCCCAGAGCTGTATACCTCGAATAAGACAGCAATAAAAAACCTTTTAAACCTTGCAGCTAATCCTTGCTAAAAAAAAAAAAACAACGTGTAAAACTGTGTTCAAGGCACAAAAGATTTAACGTCTATAAAGAACATTTACAGAATCTGTATTTCTGCCCTGGTTGAACTTTATGAACCTTCTTTTCGTCATCTCCAGGTGGATGGAGGTGATACGCAGTGCCACCTGCTCCTCCAGTCATACTGTGTCCAGCTCTAGAAAAGAGCTTTACTGAAGAAGGTGCTCCATCATCACTCCTCCTTCTCCTCCTCCCTTCTTCCCTGCTGACTTCAGACTGATCCCTAAAGTGGGTCGATGCCTTAACACATTATCACATTGCACAGACGATGGACTTGAGTACACACTGGCTCCTCACCTCTGATAGGTGGACACACTCAAGTCCTCCTGCACCGTCACAAACTTTACACACATACACAAGCTTTGCTCATAGTACTTACCTTATGTTTTTTTTATTAAAGCTAGAGCCATTAAGTGATGTTCACATGCACAAACACAAACGTAAAGACACCACTGACATCAATGGAAGGGTTGGTTTTTTTTTTTTCCATCTTAAACATTGCTTGCATTTTATTTTTTTAGTGTAAAACTGAGCTGGAATTTAGGAAAGTAAGCACATTTGAGCTAAGTTTTTTCTCACTACAGCCCACTAAGAATACGATAACTTTGATGCAATTTTAGTTTCATTTAAATAGTAAAAAAAACCTTTTTGTAAAATGTTTTCTTCTTTGTACAGTCATTTGATACACTGTGAAATCCATTGTTCTTGTCGCCGCTCGACTTTTCTCAAAAGAAAAAATGCCCTTTAATACGTTTCTGGTGCCAACAGAGATTTTAATGGTTCACTGCCAAAAGACACTTTTTTTTCTCTTTTAAATCTTAATTCATGAAATAAAAACTAGATAAGACTGTGTTTATTTACTCTCTCACTAAGATTCAAAACGTTCCTCCGAGACTTTTTGTTTTTTGAACGCCCCCAGGTGAACTTTAACCAGAACAATTTATTTAAAGAAGAAAAAAAGCATATAATGGACAAGGACAGGCAGGCCAGTCAAGCACATAAACTTAATTCAAACCTTTTAGTGTATTCCACAGCTATACTGAGTACTTATTACCAAACATGGTGCAAGTCGTAATTACAGTTTCAGAAACTTAAAGAAAAACAAGGGTTTGAGAAACAAAAGTGTGTTGTGTTTTTGGTTTCCTGAGAGATAAGGTAAAGGTCTGTCACAAAAAAAAAAAAAAAAAATATAGAGGTCACTTGATTCTTTAAACTGGTCTTGAACAACTTCTTTATAATCTGCTAATGGAATAACTTAATCTCGTCCTTCTCTGGTTACATATTGCAGCCCATGGTCGCCATAGGAGTCGTAGCTCTCATAACTTGGAAGTGATGGCCAGTTGGACTCATATGTGGTGGTACTGTACACAAACGCCTCTGTGATGCTGCCCGGTGATAGTGCTTGTCCTCCCTCGTTCTGCCCCACACACTCCTTAACCTGCAGGTTGACCAGAGTACGCTGGTAGATGCTGGGGACTTTTTCAAAGGCGTCAAGGAATTTCAGCATCTTCTCATCCACCTTGTAGATTTCCCCATGGATTCTGTGACCCTGGCCGGGGATGTTGAGGAGAAAAGGGACGTTGTATTTACTGGCGATCACCAGAGGGTATTTCTCAGTGGTGAGAGCTGAGGCAAGAAACTCAGCCTTACCATTGTTCCTGTCCAGCATACGGAAGTAATTTGGCTGACTTTTCTTCAAGGTGCCGTAGACGAAGATGTGACCCATGTTGAGACGAAGAAAAGACACACCTGTCAAATGAATCAAAAGACAGGTATGTTTTGAGTAATCTCCACAATATAGGTATCATACAGGAAATACTGGTATTCATCCAAGATAAATCTATAATAGGATGTGGCTTGTTTGTAGTTCTCTTTATAAATCAACCAAAGTTGTTTTATTCCCAATTTGTAAAAGCTTTATAGGGTTTTGATTAAAACCTTGTCTCTTCCGGTAGTGCAGACACACAAAGGTATGTCTTGCCTGTTGGGACAGTTGGACACATATTTGAATTTACTAACTAAGGGTAAAGGAAATTCCTTGAATAAACACCTAAAATAACTACAGTGGGAAAAAGGCCCGAGGATATGGAGACGTGGATCCTTGTGTCAATTTTCCTTCCCCCTTCCCCATTTAAGCTACAGTCAATCGATAAGATACCACCCTGAACCAATCCCTTGTAAAGTCCTTCGGGTCTAGGTGATCCCTTTTCCTTATATTCATTAATACTCATATTCTGGGACAAGATGAAAATCATTGCAAGGACAAACGGTGTGTACAAAATTGCGAAGGACCGCACAAGGGTTGAGAGTGCGTTAGCACAGGGGTTCCCAAACTTTTTTAGGGCTCACTCACAGACAATAATACAAAACGTATTTTCCTACTTTTCTTCACTAAAAACAAATAGATGAATAGCTTTTTGACATTTGTAATACACATGAACAACTTTTCCTACGCAACAGTTGAAAAAAGCTCATCAATCACCCTGAACCTATTTCCGCATTTGCTTGGTTATGGTCGTCATATTATGTACAACCTGGCGGCATATCAGGCTTATATATTCTGTAAGATGTATTCTGTGGTTACAGTACTGTACTGTATAAGTATGTACGCACTGGAAATATACTATACACTCATATTTCTAGTATTTTACCTTTAGAATAACCTATATAATGTCGGACTTACCCGAGTTCACTTCTAGTCGCCTGCCTTTATCCGGAAGAGCCGCTTCACTAGAACATTGCTGTTGCCTGCCCTCTGCTGTTTTCAAAAGCGTATATTTTTTTCTCTCTCCCAATTGAATAACAGACAAGCAACATGGCCGCCACTTAATATTTGATCTGCGCATGTGCAATGGTCGTGAAAACATCCTTTGGTTTGGGGATAAAGAAGGTGAACAAAAGACAACGGCAATTTCGTGAACCAACTTTTTTTTAAAGTTTAAAGTTTTTAGTAAAAATAGAAATTTGCGAAGACTATTTCAATGAAACAACACGCGTATCTGTGTTGCTGGTTGTAAATTATTCTGTTCCTTCAATTACGTTTTATATTAGTTTTAAACAATAACAGTTACGTTATTTAAAAATAATCGCCTTTTCTTTTGAGTGTTTTTTTATTTCGAGCTGTTGCGGAAAGGAAATAATTGCTATGTTGGACGTTCGCATAAAACGTTATATACTACACAATTTGTGTAGTATATAGCACATCAAGCCAGGTGGCGACAGTAAACTGGGACAAAACTTAACATACATAAAAAAGCACAAAACAACAATATTTAATCTTGTATCAATGGCTCAATTAAAATGAGGGAATTCTCGCCATCTATCGGTGGTGTCGCGTGCTTCTCCCCAGCTACACTGCATGTTGGAGAATTTAAAAAAAAACGTGTTTAGACTAAAGTGATTGTGTGATATAAATGGTTATTTGTTGATCCACCGTGGTTTTATTCAACCTTAATTTAACATTTGGATGACTTTATACTCAACGAAGTGTTAGTACATTTGTTTTTTATTTAACTTTTGTAATATATAAATGGATATATATAAATTATAAATGGAATAATTGACAAAATATTTAACTAAATCTGAAAGACATGACATTAGAATACATATTTTACAAAAATAGAATGAACCTTTGAATGATATAGGTTTTGCGTAAATTAAAATGAAAAGCATTTTCTATGATAATAGCAAGATGTGCGGTTTGAAGGATTCTTACTTCAGCGCCATCATAAATGTAAGCTTCTATGGCTAACAAGCAATTTCTTCTCCTGCAAAGATGAACATTCATATTAGAAGATGTCGTTATAACAACAGCAACACTGCTTTTTTATTTAAAGGTAATAAACACAAAGATCTACAACAGGTGAAATAAATATTTTTTTTTATTATTTTCATTTTCTTAGTCATAATCATTTTACTTATGAACAATGCCATTGCAATACTCTGTAATCTTGCAAAAAAAGCAACCATTTGATGGCACTGCTGTGTCCACAAGGACCCAACCATGCATAAAATCTCCCATTTAAAATAAAAAACAAACGGTAAAATAAAAAATATATATTAAAAATTATGCGTACCACTGATATACAGATCTGATATAAACAGGCGTATTGGTCACAAACCAATCAGAATTATAAACATGGCTTCTTTTACAATACACGGAGACCAAACGTGGGGTATGAGTCTACTTCTCTTTTTCTTATTTTTTTAAAAAAGGGTACATTTTTCATTTTTATACATTTGTACATGATTTTTTTTAAAATTTATTACATTTTTTAACAATTTTAATGCTCTCACGCCATACAGCTAGATGCTTGAAACACTCAAGGCATTATGGGTGCGGTTTCTGACAGGGCTGTCACTTTTTCCAACTGTTAAGTTCAAAGTAATTTCAATGTCAAACTTTCACATATATTTGTAGGTGTCATACGTTTCTCCAAAACACACAGATATAACCTCCTGGCAGTGAATTCTAGTTGGGTGAGCAGTCTGTTTCTCTTGTGCAGACAAAGAGGCAATGATCATTGGCAAGCTATATGAGTAAAAATGCAAGGTTTTTGGGTTCTGGGTAAATGCATACTATAGTACTTCTTTAGTTGTGTTTTAGCATGAGTTTAATAAGCTTACAAATATATGGAATGCACAGACAAAGCCATCAGAGTACCCAAGCAGAGCACAGAGTAATATAGTTACTTTTAAAGAACTGGACAAGATTACGCTGCTGCTGAGGTGATGCTGTGGTCAGCCAGATAAGCTTTGCTTGTTTTAGAATAATAAACTAACAGCCCTACTGTCTGAGAAGCATAGATTAGAATTAACGTGCCTCTGGTAAAGGCACAGAGGCAATAATAGTCTGCAAGCATAACTTAAGTGGAGTACTAACATATTTATGTTTCTATATCATTCATTCATGTAAAATATGTTGTTGGTGAAAATGTTTCAGGTGGATTTTTTGAGTTCTGCCTGAATGACAATAAAAGCAGTGAGTTAATATGAGCAGCAAAGGCACGCACTGAGGCATAATAGTCACTGAGCAACAAAAAGGTGGAAAAGCAGGTTATTTTGTGATGTATTTAGAATTCCACACGTAGTATTTCTGGTTCTGCATAAGTCCTGATGCTTTTCAGGCACAATGTCATGTTTGTTTGAACAGGAAGGCTGTTATATGGTCTGAGGCACACTTTAACAAAATTGAATCTGAAACTTGAACTTATAGAAAAAAAAGTGACAACCCTGGAATCAAACCAGCATATGTTGCAGTAAATGCACATCAATAATACACACACACACACACACACACACCCCAATAGACTAGTGGCAGCAGTGGCTTTTGACATGGAAGAAAATTACAGTTGTGTAACTTGGTGCCTGTAGCAAATACTTGTACCAAAACAGTTAATCCACTGTAATATTTAAATCCCACTGATGGTGTACAATCAGATGTTATGCTTTTAGAACTTTTTTTTACTAAAACAAACACAAATACCAGTCCATTCACACCTTTGTAAAAATAAAATTTTCAAATCTTTTGAAATGTGCAAAGAAAAACAGGGCTACTTAGCAAAAGCTGACAAGGAATGGGGTAAAAGCAACAGTGGAGATCTCATAAGTGCATAATGGTAGTGTAAATCAGTTTTTAATTCTCCACTGGGGCCAGAATATTTAACTGTATTTAACTTTTTTTGGAACGAAGGCTGATATGCATATAATGTACTGGATTTTTCTTCAGTTTCAGAATTTTTGGTACCGTTATTTTTTTTCCCAAGTGAATATAAAACAGAACGGAAAACAAAATCCAAAGTCCACACTGACCGTGTAGATTTGCTAATTATTATCTGGCACAAAACTGCAGGAGAAAACGTACCGCATAGAAATGTCAGCCAGAATCTTTCTGATTTCATCCAAGCACCAAGACATGACGAGCAGAAACAGATTAAAACCAAGCAGACAGTACAGGTTTTCTTTTGAAGATGTAGCTATCACTTGAACCTGGTTCTGGAGTCGGGATGGTCAACTGTACAGTAAAAGATGTTGTAAACGATGGTTGCAAAGTAAAGCTATTTTGTGGACTGGAAGTGCTCTATTGGGTTAAGTTGACTTTGATGTGTCTATGAATGGGATCCTAATTTATAAAGCTCACAAGTTCTCTGCAGCGTAACCAACAGTTATCAACAGAGGTTTGAGGTAACCCCCTCGTTCCTGTTTCCTTTTTGTATGTATGGTCAGTGGTGCAAGCCTACTGGGACTGAGTGCTATTGGTCAGATTCAACACCACTGCAGAAAATGTGGAGATTAAAAAACTCGAGTGTTTGTGGTGTTCTTGTAAACTGAGAACTGTAATAAAGCTTGGACTTAAGGTGACCAGAAGCGCAAACTTCAAATGATGAGAGGATCCAAGGATGTTCCAATGTGGCATATGGTGATGTGTTAGCCACAGAATGTACTATGCAGTACTTTCACAGTGAACCTACAGTACCTAGTAACAACATGATACAATAAGAAGGGTAGAGCTCTAGAATGGCTGTACTTGTTTGTGCAGACATTTCTCTTAATAATGAAATGAATGAAAACAGCTTCATGCAGGTAAAACCTCTGGCCAAACAACAGTGAGCTTCAAAACCTGCAACTTCTATTCACGTTTGCACCTGGCGTTGCACCAACAGAACAAGAACTCAGTTCCTTTTCCATTTGCCCACTTTCTTATCTTCTTTTAGAGTGCTCATTTACACTTGTTGATTTCTTAAAGTTCAAACCAAACCAAAGTTGTTGGACTAAATCTGATCTTTTTAACGCCTTATTTGTTCTTCTGCTCCTTTGGACTCATTACCATAGACATACATCTTTTCACATGACAGAATTTCTCAGTGTAGCCTTTTAGAAGGAGGTTTGTGGCTTTAGTTTCATTGGATCTTGTTTGGTCTGTACGCTGTTTGAACAACAAGCAAATGTTCTGATTAGCAGATTAGTCATGACATTAGAGCTCGTGATGGTGCTTTTACAGCCTGGTTTGGCTTGAAATGATCCAGAGATGACAAGTGTGAAAACACCCACAAGGGCATGACATGGGTTCCTTAGGAAACATTCTGCACATTCTGTCCATTGCAAATACCATTTGTAAACCACAGCTGGGACATTCAGATGACCAATAATGACTAATCTGGGCACTATCATTGGCTTATCAAGGAAATAATTATCCTACCATTAGCTGAAATAGTAATTCGCTTCAGCCTTGTTGGAAGAACAAGTACCAATTCAAAGGTCTGAGTTCCAGCCACATTTAACTATTTTAAAAGCACAGCATGGGCATACAACGACAACAATGGCTGATTTGAGATCAGCTGATTAGGACCAACAGTGAGAACTACTTTAGCGTAATATTAATGTCATTATCCAACAAATCCAAGCTCACTTCTCCATAAAACGGAAAAGGCACACGTCAAAGAGCGATGACGGGGCGAAAGTGAAGGAAGTTTTTTTTTGACAAGAGAGCAGACAAAACTTTGCATCTGACCAGACCAGAAGGCAGGTGAAAAATGTTTCGATTTTCTAGGGAGTGTTTGTCTGTATCTGGGGTATAGTTTTGTCAATAGCAGCAGGACCCAGGTCGTCACTGTCACTCTGGGGTTTTTTGGCAGGAGACTACATTCGGAGGATCGGGTGAGCAAGACGGGGAATCACGTCCTGTAGGTCCATAACACCAACAACTCCAAAAGGTTTGAAGACAGAAACGGGAACCGTACAAACATAGAAAAGAAGACATTTTTCAAACAGTTATTTTCAATCGCAGATTAAAGAAGTCTCTACTTTGCCTCCCGACCTTCTTTTTTTTTTTGACAAATTAAGGTGCAACTTGCAGAGAAAGAAAAGTCACATCAATCAATGGCAGTCTCATACAAACAGAGACATGGAGGCCCAGGAAAGTGCCATTAACCCTCTGCCGACACACCCCACCATTTATCCAGCCAGATCAACTTGGTCTGATGTGGTTTCAGCTCGGAGGTGAAAGGAATGAGGATCAGGGACCCAGTTTGGCAGGAGGGCAAGTTTTTTTTTTTTTTTTTTTTTTTTAAAAAAAGGGTCAGAGCTTGGACTAATGTACAAAGATGTGCCGCAGAAGCTCATCAGCAGATGGTCGCTGCTTGGTCTCAACAAAGATCTTTTTAAGAAACTCCCTGCAGTGGTCCGACACGTGAGCTGGGAGAACAGGGTTAGTGGGCTGGGTGGCGATTTTAAAGATGGCTGCCATGGCCTCAAACTCTGCCCAAGGTGGCCGTTGTGTGAGCATCTCCACCACAGTGCAGCCAACACTCCTGGGGGACCAAGAACATGTTGTAAAATGAGGACAATTAAACTGTTTTGTTTTTTTGTTTGTCTTTTTGTTGCCTTCTGGGGTTTTTTTTGCTTATACTTTTTTGCCAGAGTGCAGCTATTGCTGTACCTTTTTATTAATTTTTCTTTAGCTATATGGGCCAGCTTGTCCCTTTTTAAGAGTAACCTTTAGCTTTTTTTCAAAGTTTGTTTTTTTCAACTTGTAGATTTGTACTGATGTGGTTTGCTTAAAGTCAATCTATGACTTTTGGCTGTTTTGCCAAAATCATTTTGAATCTCAAATATCTTCAGTGGAAGCCTAAGATTCTGCCCATCAAGCAGCTTTTCTCACCAAATGTCAGCTTTCCTGCCATAGCCCTCTCCACTGATCACTTCTGGGCTCATCCAGTAGGGCGTGCCAGTCACTGACTTGATGCCGGTTCCTGAAAGACAGATGGTCTGAAGCCGTCGGCTCGCTCCAAAGTCTCCTAGCTTTACGTTGCCAACAGAGTCTCGAAGAATATTTGCTCCTAAACAAAAGTGTCATTATTAGTTTGGCTGTCTTTTATAAACCAAACCATTGGCTTGGCTAAGTTTTCAATTTTTGTCCGTTTTGTAAGCTACTTGTAAGGGCTAGGTATTTTGGGCAAACCTAATCCACTGTGCCAGATTTTTGTCCATCTTTTCAGGTTGTCAGAGCTTACCCTTAATGGTTGTTTTTGAGTATATGATCAACTGCCTTTTAGCTGTTTCAGGGATCACGTTTGTTTTAAAAAAAAAGCTATGTCTAGCTAACCTTTTGGTATTCTGTTAGTCTTTTCAACCTTTGTGAATACTGACAGCAAAACAGATGAATAAAATATAGTAGAGCTCACCTTTGATGTCTCTGTGAACAATCATGTTGCTGTGCAGGTAGGAAACCCCTTCCAGGATCTGCCGGGTGTATCGGCGTGTGACGTTTTCAGTCAGCACTCCGTACGACTTTAGCTGGTCCTTAATAGAACCCTGACCACCGCAGGAATAAAAAGCACAATTTTAGCAGCTAACCGTTTAGGATGTCTTGCATTAGAATCAGTATGGGAAATATATGACTCACTCCAGGCATGTACTCCATGAAAATTGAGAGTGTTCGCTCCATGCTGTCTCGCAGGCAGCCATAGTACTGGACAATCCGCTCGTGGCACAAGTTCTTGAGGAGCTGGATTTCACACTCCAGTGCACTCACCTCCTGATTGTGGGCAGTTACAAAAACACATTTGCAAAAAGAAGGCAATGATTTTTCCTATATTTATTTATGAATAGTTGAGATTTGACTCTGACCTTTAGCAAGATTTTGACAATTTATTTAGATTTGATACCGAGTTTAAGTTATTCTGATTTTACTTTTAACAACATTTGTTTTAACCACTTCTATATTTACGTATTTCCTGTTAAGGTTTTTGCTTGAGCCAGGAAAATAACTTTAAAAAAACAAGGCTGTTAGATTCTTTCTAACCTACTAAGTGTGCTTTACTTTTGGTCAACCTTTAGTTACGTCTCCTGCCTTTTGACCTTGCAGTTCTTTGGGGCTGAGTCATAATTTCTTTTTTGTTTTTTTTGACTGACTTTTAGGTATTTTCAGGTTTACTTGGTGTTAACTCTTATGTACATATTAATGTTCCTTTTCAATTATTTTTTGGCATTTCTGCACTGTTTGTTTTAGCAGACTAAAAATAACTAGTCTTACCAGTAAAAAGCAGGTTCTCACCTTGCTTGTTTCTGGACTCTCAGGGTCAAACTGCACTTGTTTGACTGCTAATTCTCGTCCAGTGTCAGCATCGTAACAGAGAAAGACCCGTCCAAAGGCTCCCTGACCCAAAAGCTTTCCTAGCCTCCAGTTGGTTGGAGCACGTGGAGCTGGAGACCAGTCACAAATACAAATAAATAAACCCCCCAAAAAAGGGTCAAGTTTTTGAAGCAGGTGATGAGAGTGAGTGACTCACAGCGGCTGGGTGGACTAATGTCCATGACAGACAGAGTGGGAGCAACAGTGGGATTAGGCTCAATGTCGCTGCCTCTTCGCGGCCGTCTGGCAGGGCCTGGGACTTCTTCCAGGTCAGGGGTGAAGACACTGCTGCCACTGCTGGTGCTCGGCGACTGCTCAGTGGGACTAAAGCTGACAGGTGAGCGGAAACCGTGGACTTGTGTTCGCCGAGCACGGGGGAACGTTTTCCTTCCTGCAGAGGATAAATGCAAGGTAAGACAATTGTGAATGAAGACACTACAGTTTATGTTTTGTATGTTTAGAAAATTATTTTTGTATACAACCGAAACTGAGCATTGAGCATTTATATAAAAAAATTGATAAGAGGGCGTTAGGGCAATTTTAAAGCACAGAAAGAACTGGGACAAGCTGCTTGTTTGTAGTTGATAAAAATCCCGGCACTGACATAGAGAGAGAGAGAGAGTTTGTGTGTGCCTGTGTACAGTTCTTTTGTGAGTAAGCCACTACTGACTCAACATGTTTGTAGTAAAGCTATTTATTCTTGTCTAGCATTTAGACAAACATGTTTACTTGGCTATTTTGTAGCCGAATTTCATGTATCCCTATATTTCTCTAATTTTCATTTATACTTTATTGGTTGTTTCTTTTGAGCCTACTGTATTTTATTACTTTCTGGCCTCTACTTAATATTTCTTCTGGCCCATTTTCTGTCACCTTTGCTTTATTTTAAATACCTTTAGGTTGATATCTTTGTTGTGTTTAAAAATTTGGAAATGTTGAGGAAATTTCTTTTTTGTTCAGGTTTTCTTAAATATGCATTTTTTGCTAAGCCTTAATCATTTCCAGACTGTGATATATTCTTTTGCATTGTTTTAGAGAAAATGTTGTTTAATTCTGTTCAATCACATTTTTTAAAATTAACTTCACTCATGCCATTCTTTTTTAGCAATACATTTGGAACATATAGCAATTAAACAAACATTTTTGCTCACCATCACTATAGTCCTGAAGGCCAAAAGGAATGCCATAGCGTCGAGGATATGTTCCACCTTTACCTGACTTTTCAAACACTGGGATATCGTACTCTGCAGATGAAGAAAAATACAGTGACAATCTGTGTTACAACACAATCTGCAATGTAAATAAAACACACAGTCATTGGTAAATTAGCTTGATTTAAAACCATCCCAGTTTAAGCAAAAAGAAAAACAATGGAACTCATATTTAATATCATATAATGTTGAAAAAAAGCACAGTAAGAAATGGCACTAAAACATCAATAGACCATGATTACCCTGAAAGTCCTGATGGTTGTCAGGGTAGCTCTGTGCTCTGGGCATCCTGGACTTTGAGTAGTCGCTAAAAAATAACAAAAAAAAAAGCGAATCATTTCTATAGTAGAAACTGGTTCACAGAAAAACATCTAAGGTACTAAAGGATGTTAAATTCCATCAAAAGAGCAGACCTGTCCAGAGGGCTGTCTAAAGAAGGACAACTTCCAGATGCTGAGTTCTCTGGACTGCTCATTGACAGAGGGTCCAACATCTAGATGTAGAAAAAAGTGACTTGGAATGAAAAACACTCACATAATCAGTGAAACATTAATAATAATTTTAGGATTCTAACTCAGTTAGATCATAAAACTGTGCTGCATTTGGTGACATCTACAGGTGAAGATGCGTATTGCAAACCAACTTTGATAGTGTCTCCGTTCCTCACCCCAAATAATTACAGCACAATACAGTTTGTTCAGTTCAAGTTTCCAAATGTGTTAGTAAAAACAAAAACTAAAATAACCACTTATTTAGAACCACATTTTATTGCTGCTTTTGTGGTTGCCTAAATTATAATTTTGAGGTTACCTGGTCCATGCTCTCAGGAATGAATTCTCCTTCGCTATTTATGCTGGTAAAAGAACCGTTTCTCGCCACCTGCTGGAGAGCGTCGGGAATGTATCCAGGAGGAGGAGAGCTGCGGTCTGTTGAATGGGAGCCTGGTGATGGAGGAAGAATAGAAATAGAAAAAAAATGTGACACATGAGATTGTGTTTTTTAACTTATATACGTTTTAGACTGGACTTGTTAGATTGCATCACTCACCTATTAAATCTAGCATACTCTTCTTGTCAGCTACCCTGAATCCTGTGTTGTCTAGCTCCTCGTGAGAAGGCAAAAGGTCCATATTGGAGGAACAATTCTGACAGAAAAAAAGACATTAAAAAACCCATAAAATAGTAGAAAAAAATGACTGCAAGAGTTTAAACAGACCAACTAGTCAACTTCAAGTTCTCCACAGTGATGTTTGGAGCTTGATGTGGACTCGTCACTAGTAGTTTTGATGCCAACAATATGAACACAAGAAACAAAGGAGGCAGCGCTCCTTGCATTAACAGGTGTGTGCACTGAATGCACAGCTTTGCTAGGTCTTTGGAGGTCCATGATTATTTGAAAACATTGACTGCAAAAAATGTGACTGCAACTGTGGCAGAGCAGGACTGTCAGTATTACCAGGTTTGGACATACACCAAGTTTAGTCTCGGCGTCATTCCCTTCTCCAACGGTTTTTCATGCTTAGATGAGATAGATATGTAACAGCTGAGTTGCCTGTTGTGAATGATACACTTGCTGTTTTGCATACATTTTGTATAATCTGTGCCTTTTCTGTGAATACAGATTATTGCAACACATTTCCTCTGCTTTGACTGAAAAATAATCACCACTAGTTGAGGTTAATTTTAATAGTCAACCTTCACAAAAGTGAAGTAATTCAAGCTCTAATCGCTAAACATTCAACTCAGAAACTTACCAGGGACTATTTTTCATATTAAATTTAGAAGCTCCTGACCTGAGACGACAACTGAAGAACCAGAAGGATCCTAAGGCTCTTCATGTGAACACTGCGATCCAAAAGCTCCACGGCTTTGTCCAGATCATCCTGAGTGGTCAGTGGAATCACCAGCTACCAAAAAAGGTCAATTTTTAAAAATTTAATTAAATTTTCATTTTATAAATTGAATGGTCAACACTGAAATATATATCTCTGCACCTCATTATTGCTGTAGTGAAGGTCCATGACCTGACCAAAAGCCACCTTAGCTTTTGACCTGAGGTCATCCAACATGACGGGTCGAGGGAACTGCAAAATCCTGAAGAAGACAAGAAAAGAAGAGGTCAGAAGAGGTTACTGCTGTCTGCCTATCACCATAAAGGGCAGAGCCTGGGAGACATCTCACCTCTTCTCTCCTTTGAACTCGAACTTCACTCTAATGTCATTCTGCTCCAAAAAACAGCAATAGAGAAAAAAACAGTTGATCAGTGACTGCTGGTTCGGGTACTGGATCTCATCATTTATTTAATTAGAAAGCCTATTTGCAATGGTATGTACATACATCTCATCCCTAATTATTTTTATTGAAAAAGTCCAAACTGTGGGTTGTTGAAAGTGATAAATTAGTTAAAAAGTGAGAGGTGTGAGGAAAACAGTCCATTTAATCACCTTGTTCTGATTTACAAAAAGTCAGAACAATGAGTTTAAATGTCCAAAATATAGATAAGACTTTTAGGGGAAAAAAGGTATGGCCCCCCTTTACCTGGTTCTTAGGTGAGGAGACTTTCGGTTTTCCCAAGTCGGACAGGAACGTTGCAGGACGGCTGGAACGGTGAAGTTCGGCCAAGTCCTGCATGATGGAGTTCAACACCTCCTGCTCATCTGCAGTGACAACAAGGAAAATATTGACTTTTAATGGAAATGTAGAGTAATTAATTAAAGTTAAGCAAATAATTAGTAAATAAAACATATTTATATTGTCGGGGTAGTAGTAGTAAAAACAATCTTCCATGTTCTCTTAAGTTGTAAATTTGACAAACACACACCTGGCTAAGTGCCTGACAGTAACATTATCTTGAGATCATAAAAACATACCCATCATTGTGGCACAGCGATTGACCCAGGAGGCCAGGAAAGAGGATTCTCCCATCAAAGGGATTCCTTTCTCCTGCAACAGAGAAAGATAAACATTAGCCGTGACACTGATGGAGCATAAAGGCCTGAAGCTATTGACTGACTATTGTATAAACAGAATCATTTTAAATATGTGCATGTGCATTTAAAAAAGGACCTCACCAAGAAAAAATGAAATGTCTTAATCAGAGTAATGAGGTAAACAAAAAAAAAAATATATATACAGTAATACTTTGAAAAACGACGCGACATACGAGTATTCCGAGATACGAACACGCCTTCGAACAAATTTTTGCTTTGAGATACAAATAATAAAGATAATAATAATAATAAATAAAGATTTAAAATACGAGCATGCTTACAGACGCCGACGCTAGGTGGCCGAGCACTTGTAGCAGCCCACCCCGCCTCACTTGTTCACTTCACGTGTTCGTCGACTTCCGTATGCATAAGAACACATACGTGTGTATGTCTCTATACCAATTAATAATTTTCAATTAATTAATTCAATTAAAACAATTAATTTTCCATTGTTATTAGCATTATTAATTAGAGGGATGGAACAGATTCAATTTTTTTCTGTTATTTCTTATGGGAAAAATGATTTGAGGTATGAGCACTTCGAGTTATGAGGTCGGTCCTGGAATGGATTATGCTCGTATCTGAAGGTACTACTGTATATATAAGCGAAATATATTCATAACAAAGACAATACAAATGTACAACTTTGCATCAACAAACTCTGCTTGTACAAAAACACTGACTAATATTCAAGCTTTCTGAACAAAACAAAACCTCATCACATCAGAAGTGTAAACATGAGATGTCTTGTAATACTGTGTACATTGAGCACTCTCAAACATGTCGTTACTCTAATAATAATAATAATAATAATAAATAATTTTAACTATATTGATCCCTTATTTGGGAAATTCCAGATATGTAGTTAACAGGCTGCCCCCAGCAGGTGCCAAGCATGTGGTTCCTCTAGTAATTGAACCCAGGACTCTGCTTCCGAGGCAGGCATGCTAACTGCTACACTGTAGAACCTATAGTGGTTCTCTATTATTATCTGTCATTAAAGCTTGTGCAATCAAGATGGCCCCTGCCAATGAGGAGGTGATTGGAAATTTCTGATCGATCACGGTCTTCTTGTGACGTCAAATCTGACTACCCTCTACTCAAAACACTAGCGAGAGTGGGCTACAATGTCAACATGAGCTTAGCAAGAAATCAGTGTAACGTAAGCTGTAATCACAAGCACAGCTACCGTTGCCACAATTGTAGATTGTTAGCTTTAAATGAACTTGCTAGCACTAGCTGAGCTGGCTTATTTGACCAATACTTGTCATGAGCAAAGTTGACACTGCGTCTCACATAAATGTACAATTACGGGGTACCTCAGCATTCATGCTTTTAAGTAAAACACTTCTAAGTGTACTATGTAATGCAAAACGTTAGCTGAGCAGCTAAAGCAAGTGAAGAGTTTCGTATCCAGGCCAGGGAAGTTGACAAGCTAAAGCTAATGCTAATTCAAACCTGACCATCAATGCACGACTGTTAAAAACAAAACTATTGCGCAAACAAACGTCAGCTCTGAGGCTACATGCCCCTCCGTTATCTCACCTGGGAGTACGGTTTGAGTTCCTTCTCACTTCCTCATCCACAGGGCCGGTGACAGGAGCCCCGGGCCCTGCGGACAGCCGCTAGAGGAAGCAGAAGTTTGGCAACCCGCTCACAACTTCACTCGAGTCCTGCTGGGCCGAGACGACGAGGCCCGGCTGCTGCTGACAGCTTAGTCCAGTGGAGCTTTTACGACAAAGGTAAAAAATTATTACATTTAAAGCGTTCTCCAACCCAATATCTTCGTGTCTGTCCAGCACAGAACAAGTAAAGTTAATTTACTGCTCCCATTTTGATACGCTTTACGAGCTGGTACACTGTAGCTTTGCTCGCTGTTTTCCCACAATTGCGTTGTGAAGTTAGTGTTATGTTAGAGAACAATAATAGAGGTGCTATGTGTTTCTGCACGTCAAAATAAAAGCACGAAGTGTCTTGAAACTGTTTCCCAACACGAATTAAACCTTGTATTTTAGATTGACAGTATTGATCCGGAAGCTAACTATAAAATTTATTGTGTTGATAATATTTTTTTGTTTTTGGGGAAGTCTGAAAAAACACAAGTTATGATGTTAAGACAGCCGAGTTACAGAAATAATGACACACAAACCTCGAACGTGAAATACGTTATCATCTAAAAATAGTTTGTGCAAATACATTTCACGAAAGGTGTATTTTTTTTAAATTAACCTCGCTATAGCCACTTAAATTCAGGACAAGAACGATTTAGAATTTTATTACATTCGTTCAAAAACAATACAGTTGGACTTGGTATATTAATGAAATTGACTATATTCTCGATTTTTAAACCGCCAAATTGCCGATGCAGGCAAAAACTCAAATATGTATTAATACATTTGTTATTACCAGTACACTTCTAAAAACAAGTCTTGAGGTTTGACGCAAAAAAGCCTTCCTTTGAAACAGCCTACTCTTGTCATCACTTCCGGTGGCTGTCTCACAACATCGGCCTGAAACTGAAGCTAACGCCAACGACGTCCTCGGTGCTTCACAGAAAGCGATCTAAATATGTCAGATACGGTAAGATGAAAACTACAGAGAGGTTGCATTTTATATACATTACCAAGTTGTGAAATAAGCTTAAATTTGATATATAACAGATCACCTTTGTGTTTATCGAACGTAACACAACCCGTGTGGCTTTAGGCCCTGCATCCATTGCTTATTTTGCTGCTTAGCAAAGGAGCTGATGTTAGTTTCTGTTCCGTTTAGGGAAGTTTTTGCCTTGGATTAATAAGTTTCACCTACTTGGTTTAAACTGAAATTGAGTGGCGTTTTGTACATACTGGGCAGTGACGTAGATTTTTTAAAAGGCAGGATGGCACGCCCGGCCTGGGCCAGTAGCTGACCACGTCGTAGCCTGTTCTTTGGATCGGCAGCTGATGGCTTGGCAGTCGGCTGAAACTTCTAACTGAAGACTGCTGTCTTAAACATTTCTTATCCAAAATATACTAAGATAAAAAAAAGGCATTGAAGTCCAGGGTTTCCCTTGAGTTACGGCTTTTTGCGGGAGGAATGTGTGGTGGGGAATTGCGTGGATGCGGCGACTTGACTAATAATAAAATAATAACCATTCTTTATAACAGTCTTTTACAATATTTTTCTTATTTTTTATCTCAAACAATGACACCATTCATTAGAATAATTACTCACAAACAAGAATAATTTAACTCTCTTACAATATTAAAGATAAAATAAATGTCTGGGTTTTCTCTTAAAACTTCCTGTTTACTTATTTAACAGAACAGAATTAAGAAAACTTAATTACCCATTCATTCTATGTACTGTATCTATATATCTACTCACTTTTGTTTATTCATCTATCTATCCAGTTTACTTTTGTTTACATATCTTTATATATATATCAGTCTTTCTCTCTATATATCTATCTCTTTATCTGTTTTATTTTTTTCCTTATTTTTTATTTATGTAATTGCCAATATCAGTTTTGTACAGCCAGAAGGTTGAACCCTGTCGACCTGTGGTGACTGGACTTGTGTTGCTTATTGGGGGTAGCAGGTGGGCTACTGCTCTGCTCTGTGCTTGTACCAGTGGTAGAACTAGTCTAGCTATTGCTAATAGCAGAGCTAATGCTTGCCTTGCTAGAATCACTTATGGTGTGGATGTTTTCCTCTTTTCTCTCTGTCAGATGTGTGTATTCACATGTTTGTGTGTACATCAGTGCTGAGCTCTGCCCTTTGCAGCACAATGGCCTGGTGTTAGATACATTTTGAACATTACAGTTATATTGAGTTTCATGTTTAGGTTTACATTAAAGTTAAACTCTATAGCATATAGCAATGTAATGTTCAGAAATTTTTGGATCAAGATTTGATGTGCAAATGCTTAGTTTATAATTTCAAATGTTTTTAGGACACAAAACCAACCAACCAAGGAGGCAAGGACAAGAAGGACGACGAGTACATCATGTTAAAAGTGTTGGGGCAGGTGCGTCTGATTTATTTTACTAGTTGTTAAAAATGTGTTTATTCACATTCCTTCTACAGTAGTGATAAGGTTTAATAGAAGACATCTTGCTTTATTTTCCACATTTATGTCCACAGGACAGTAGTGAAATCCACTTTAAGGTGAAAATGACAACGCATCTGAAAAAACTGAAGCAGTCTTACAGCCAGAGGCAGGTGAGGACAAAGTGCCATCAGCTGGTTAATTTTTCTTCATGTTAAAAAAAAGGATTTAGTTTAGAAGACTTAGTAAATTTGCTTTTATTTGATTTTCCAGGGAGTTCCAATGTGCACACTACGGTTCCTGTTTGAAGGACAGAGAATTGCAGATGATCAAACACCAAAAGAGGTACGTTTTTACAAACTTTTATTAGTTACACAACTCTAGTTTTTGTCTTATGTTTTGGGCTAAAATGCTAAACAAGGAATTAAACGAGTCATGGAATCATAACTTAATGCAGTAGAGATAAAATATAATCTTAATAGAGATGCACTGATCGATTAGCCAACCATGTGACTTAGTGCAGGTTGTGGGACATGTTTCATTATAACTTTATACGAAACTAACGGTTTGTATTGAAGAACACTTGTAGTGTATGCTGTAAACTAAATCTTACTGTGTTGACTAGTTGAATTCATTGTCTCATCATGGTTGTTTATCATCCTATTAGCTGGGCATGGAAGATGATGATGCCATTGAGGTTTATCAAGAACAGACTGGAGGATTTTGGATTGATTAAACCCCCTGAAATATTTGGATTTTTTTCATCATTTTGTATTTTATTTTGTATGTATATGTATGTTTATTTGTTGCCTTTCAAACCATCTGGATCAAAACACTCTTATCAGGTCTTCCATGGTTAAGGATGTTGTGGGAGACTAGGGAATAAGTGCGTCTCTCACGCTAAAGGGCAGAGACTCATGTTTTCTGCCCAAGCAATAGGAGTCATTGGCGCATTGGTTGTCTTTTTATCATTTTGTTTTCAATTGTTAAGAATGAATGTGAATTATTTTTTTAAAAGTTTTATCAAAAGAATAGCTCAGCTTACGAAAATTGTTTTAGCCACATATGTCCAAGATAGTACAATGTTTATTCAGCACAGTTTTTAATGTCTTGTGCAAAAGCGATTTAAAAATAAAATAACTAGAAGTTCTAAGTCTACCATGTTTTTTTTTAAATATTTTCACATGACATCCTAAACCTTCTTCCTATTCAGTTATTCCTTCAAAAGGACGCAGCACATCTGCGTGCAGGCACAGAGGCGGTATTGTCAATAAGTAACACTACATTGGAACTGCAGTTTACTTTTTAACCAGAGTTTTGTGCTTTACAGATTACATTGGAGTTGGATTTGTGTGCCTGTTTGCTAAGAGCTATGCCCAATTTCAGCAGGGCCCTTACAGAGAGTCTGAGGCATACACCAGTCCTTGAAAGTGAACTTTTGCTTAGGTATCGCCTGATGTCATTGAAAATGTTTAATTAAACATTAAACACCAGCCTTGTTATGTATGTTATATTGTACTCCCTACAAATCAAAAATATTTTGTTTCTCCTTAAAATCCACACCACAACACAATAGTTCTACTTTTCCAGCTGAGACGACAGATGGTATCAGTACTGGTTCCTGCAGTGGAACAGCCCCTTTTGTGGGCTGATTTCTCAACATTTACAGCCTCTTTGCCATGTTTGAAATTTGCTGCATGGAGAAATTGTAAAAAATCTGATGATCACCAAGTTCTTGTAATGATGTTTGAGTCTTTTGACTATTGATAATTGTACTTAACATGTATATGTTGTATTCAGTGTTAGTTTACTTTAGTGATGTACCATATATATTGTTTTTTTATTATTTATAACAGAGGGTTTAATTCTGTAATTATTTGTTGCCTTCTTGGCCTTCTGCTCACTGACAGTGTTTTTCAAACTGTGGTTCTGTCCTCCAGAGGTTCTGTCAAAATCTAACATTCAGATTTAGTTATCGGTGATCTGTTTAACTGTGGCATTGGTGCTTGTTTTTAATTGTTTATTTGGACTGGATTTTTATAATACGTGTATGTGACGGTGGAGCTGTTATCACAAATTGTTTTTTGGAAGAAAAAAAACTGTGGTCAAGCCCTAAAAATCCATAAAAATGCTCATTTATGCTGATGATCTTACTTGCCATATAAACAACATAACTCCACCAAACTGTATATGTCCCATCCTAACTGCTTGTTATAGCCCAGGTGTCCAAATGTGGGTCACCTTAACCTCAATGTCCTCATTGGACATCAATGCGCCGACCATTGTAGACATCCTTTACCATTACCACAGGGACAGGGATGCAGTCATAATGCAGTTCTGAAGATGGTGAAGAGACAATAATGCTGAGAGTAATGTTGATACAGATGGTTTGAAATTATTGATGTGGATGTCGCCCTTTGCTTTTTTTGAATAAAATATTTAAGACAAAAACATTGCATTGTGTTTCATCACACATATCCTTAGATAAACAGTGAGTTGACATTGTATCAACAACAGTGATTCTTATTGTTGTTGAGTTCAGGGGGGTATTTGGAGAGTTATCCGTTACAGAAAGAGGTAACTGACTCAAATTGTGAGTCGCATTGGATAAAAGCGTCATCAATGTAATGAAACTCAGCATGTCACCATGATAACAGACTGTGAACATAACCTACTTGGTGGAAGGTACGGCGCCCCTAAGGGACGAGAAACCGTGGGTTAAGCACAGGCAGTTGTGCTTCCTGTGCGTATGCCCCTAGGCTCTTTCTTTCTTTCATGACATATAATCCATTATTATTATATATTTCGTGATAAGTTTCACGTTATTTCGTAATAAGTTTCACGTAATTACGTGATAACTTTCACGTTACAGTGGTCCCTATCTTTATCGCGGTTCTACATTCGCTTCCTCAGTTCATCGCGGATTTTTTATAATCCAATCTCGCGACATTACAAATGTACAAATTTATAATATTTTCATTATTTTTGTAAAAGATAATATTCTAGCCTAAATGCGAAAACTGTATTTAAATAAACGATAAGACATTTTACCACACATACATACAGGGTAATACATAAAAAAAACCAATAATATATAGTACGTACGGTTGGGAAATCTAAGATACCGACATGTTATGTGTGACATATGTACTGTATATATGCTGAGCATTTAATTAATGTAGGGTACCTCAGTTAGACACAGGAGGGCACTGTTGTTGTTGTTCGACTGTTGATAGCGGTGTAGGGAGGTTCGTGAAGGGTAAACACTATCATGTTGTTATATGTTGCAGTGCAATATATTAATTATCTCTACTATTCCCCTACACTGGTTTTAAACACATTTGTATAACATTAACATAAATGTCTAGTTTATTTTAATCTACAAATAAACATTGATAAACCTCATTTAACCACATCACCAATTTCTGAATAATCAGGTCAGTTGTTGCTTGTTCTCCATCAACTTGAATTATAAGCCCAACGTCCGCTATGCGTTTCTGTGACGATGCTGTTGAGTGCTGCATTTGTCCATTTTACGCTACAGCATGTCATCGTGCTTCCCAGAAACTTCATATTTACACAAAATAAAATAAAATAATACTGTAATAAACTAAAAGTTACCCAAAATGACTCTCCGCGGGAAAGAAACAACAAAATAATATTCCACAAAAAACGTATTTCTGAGTATCACAACATTGCTCTATTTGTTTTATGGGGTTAAACATTATGCAATCTTTGGAATCAGACTTTGCAGTGGAACTTTCCCACAACACACCCTCCCCTACAGGTTCATGTGATACGTTCATGAATAGCCACAATGCTGACACGTTAAGAAGCACTCCAATGGGTGTGTTCCCATTCTTTGACGTTGGCTTTAACATTAACAGCACGTAGCTGCTTTCTTGGTTTTGAACATATAATGCAAGAGGAAAAACTATATATAACAAATAAAATATACGTATATTGTATAAAAATCATAATCATAGATATTTAGTCATAATCAAAATCATTGATTATCTTTGTCTTTGGATTACTTGAGTTACAGCATTATTTTGATTAATTCATGTGATTCTCTGTTAAAACCACAAGAACAAATAATACATTAAGGTTTGGAAACAAAGGATTGGTCACTGTACAGTATGTAACACATACACCTTGGGCCAAATATTCATAGCCAGTGGTCAGTCGCTGTGATTGACTGCTCTGTTGAACCACAAATCCATATCTTGAAAACATTGCACCTACATTCATCTCCAGATTGAACAGTTGAGTTATGCAACATCAAAACGTTTTTATCTTGAGCATTGAAATGTCCGTCAGTTCTCCTCAGAATCTCAACCGGGCTAAGCCAAACCTACTAGCACCAACATTACTCTTTCTTCCTTATATCCTAAGGGCAGATCCACTGACACAAACTGGGTCATGATATGCACGTACAAAATTTCCAAAGCTCTTTAAAAAACTGAAGAGAAAGAGAAGAATAAAGGAAGGTAGCCACTATTACTGCTAACACAGCAACATAAACATCTTAACTCCATCGACTAAAAAATAGTTATATATGGTCCCATGTTTTTTTTCTTTGTTTTTTTATAAACTCAATCAACATGTAAAGGTGCAATGTATGTAAATGTTATAGTCCTTACTTCACATTTTGTGTCAACCATTTCATCATTATTGCAAAAAACCTTTCATAAAAAATAACTGTAGAATGTTGGACACAACAGGTCTTACTTTCGGGTGACTCCAAATTCATAAATGACATGAGAAATGTATTCTTATATTTAATTTTAATGATAAAACCATTTTACATAAATCATTTAATTAAATTATAGGAAGTATAAGGCTACTGTTTAGTTTAAACAACTCACATACTGTTAAACAGCACTTCCCAAACAGTGAGGTCCAAGGTGAACAAATAAACATAACCCACAGCTAAGTGCTGCATTCAAGGACCCTTTGTAAAAAACGAAATCCAGATCTCAGTCAATTGAAATGTATGTTGTACACTCAATTGTTATTCGCTGCGTTGGAATTTTATACTTAAGATATATTTTCTATTTGACCATTTAACGAAGAACGTAAAGACACGCACCTATTTTGCGTTAGGGAGAAAAAATATTTAAAAAACAAACGTTGCGTTCTGTGAAAATGCGCAGACGCACTGGATATGTTTGCATTCTCCCTCCTTCCTCTCTGCCCTGAGACTGACAGTCCGTTAGCTCATGCTGCTGTTCACCGGCAGTGATACAGCAAACAGAGATTCGTATACAGACGCCTTTTAACTTTGAACGCTGTATTTCCACCACATAAACGGACACACATTTTCTTCGGACTGCTCATTACTAACTGTTTGTGTCATAAGAGGAGAAGAATTAAAAAGAGTCGACGTCCGGGAGAGAGAATGGATGCGACGGCTGCTTTCCTGCGACATTCACCAGCCACATCCTAAGGTTCCACGTTAGCCAGAAATTTTCCAAGCATCTACAGTTTTTTTGTGTTCAACTCACTACAGTTCTTGGAACTATTGTTGAGGTGGAGAAAAATCTTAAAAAGTTGGGACGTGCGTGGCTAGCGATACTGGCGAATTAATACAGCTTTAAGCTAACCTGGCGAATGTCTGTTTATTTTTATTTTTTGAACAAAAAATTGGAAAACAGTAGTTTACATTTCTTAAACAAGAGTACAAAGGCAAAATTCAAGAGAAGAAAGGTGGTGATTTTAAGCGTTACTGCGTAACGACATATTTGGAGCGTTCAGCTGGATTTTCAAAGGACATAAATCATCTGACTTCTCCCTTATGGCTCGGTAGTATCGCGGTACTTGCTGCTGGTCGTGCTAGTTAACTAGCATATATGTGTTAGTTGGAAGCCGTTTTAAACAACTACCATACATTTTTTGACGGACATTTCTGACAGCAACGATGCACCACCAGGACATTCCAGGAGACTCTCCTGGAAATGGGAGCCGGAAAACTGCCTTCCACTACAGGAGTGGCAGCGGCGGAGCGCCGGTCTCCTCCGCTGCTAACCCGGCTGACGAGAGTCAAACCCAGACAGGAGGATCGTCGTCTCCCGGACTTCACCACCAACATCACCACCAGCAGCAGCCCCAGTCCCAATCTGCGGCAGCTGGAGCCCAGGTAAAAAAGAAGAGCGGGTTTTCAATAACTAGCG